ATACGAACAAAACATCTCGAACATAGCAACATCGCTCCCTACAGCGAAAACTTGGCAGAAGCCTCCTGAAATAAGTCGGTGAGGTTTCGTTTTTGTCGGGATGGTGTGCGGAGTGCACCAAAACTGATTTGGTGCACTCCGCTGTGACACCATACACCCGAGTTCAATTCCAGGCCTCGGCTAACATCGGTGGCACAAGTGATAACTGAACCGATTTTCGCTCTTCCTATCCCTGCCGCGTGTATTGGCAGTGAGATGAAGTATGGTAATGCCCTCCCCCACGTTCGATACAGCATTGGGGAAGCCTTCATAAAGCAGCAGATCGACAAGAGATGGGTTCTTTTTTATACATGTAAGATACAGTTACTAACATACTAAAGAAGTGGAATGTGTAAAAAGACAGAATTAGCAGATTTTAAAGTGTTAGAATGTTTTTAAAATCTCTTAAGTTTGTGAAATACAAAGAAAGCGACATTGCAACGTGACATTCACATTTATTCGACATCAGTATCGGGACACGGATGTCAAGGGGGAACATATTGTTTTGTTTTAATATGGTTAACGCAAACTTGTCAGCCCATACGGTTTATCCCGTCTTCTTGTACAGGGAAATTTCGTTTTCAGGTCCATGCGGTGTAACAGCCGTTTCAATACGGGCCAAATTTGTTTTTATTTGTTTGTGTTTCTCCCTTGTGATGGGACTTTCTAGAATGAACGTTGAGATTTATAAGGGTACGGGGTGACCAATAAGCTCTGAATTGGTCTGTAATAAGGTAGGGCACTGATAAGGGGTTGACAGATATGTAATTATAGTAGTGTAGTGTATGGTAGTGTCAACCCATACGGTTTACCTTGTATTCTTTTACAGGGAAATTTCGTTTTCAGGTCCATGCGGCGTAACAGCCGTTTCAATACGGGCGAATTGTTTGTCTGTTTGTGTTTCTCTGCTTGTGATGGGACTTTGTAGGATGCACGTTGAGATTTCCAAGGGGCACGGGGGTGACCAATAAGGCCTGAATAGGTCTGTAATAAGGTAGGGCACTGAACGAGGTTCAGAGGTATGGTTGACAGGTATGATCACGTGGCTCGAGGGAAATTACTTGACGTACCAAGAACCACTGGCCGCTCTCGGGCTGAGGACATTCCGTGTTCTTACCACCCTACCCACTGAGGAAGCTGTCGTGTGAGCTCACGCATTGCACGACTTAAAACAATTTTAAATATATATTTTACGAGGCAATGCCCACTGACCTATGTAGCTATTTTTTTTTTCAAAAGCGGCCCGGCTATCACAATCAACTAAAGTGGCTTATATCGTGTGGAATGGCAGACAGCGCAGCCAGATCATCTAAAAGCGTACGTTAATTTTAAATGTCGAGAGAGACACGCAAACTCCAAATGTACATGCATCAGGGTCGGGAACGAACGCACGACCTCTTGCATACCAGGCGAGAGAGTTAACATCTCGCAAATGCGGCGCGCCCTTTGCGAGAACACGGGTAGCAGATCTTGCACGCATCTCTTACCGAGAGTTCCAACCCTTCGCGTCACGTAGTAGTGGGATACTGCAGAGTAAACACTGCACCCTTTGTGCGGCCACACGGGACAACCTTGCAAAGTGTACTGCAAGCCACTTGGCATTGTGTTCCAATCAACAGCCGGGGCCGCTGCCGGTTGCGTTGAAACATTCCTGCTGAGAAAGCTACACGTGTGGACGTGTGTTCTTCTGCAGCCAGACGCAAGACATTACGTCCTTAACAAGGAAAACATTCAGCTTTTAAACTATTTGCAATTAAAATAACGTGTGCATGATTATATTAAGCGATACGCATCGATATCCAGTTTCCGCAAAACTGCCTATTTTCATATACAAAGATCCCCCATAGCCTTTAACAGAGTGTTATGGGTAAGTGTTGTTAGCAAGCACCTATTAAGGCCGGCACGTGCAGGCTTGCACAGACATTTTAGCGAAAAAAAGTCCCGTAACAGTCGTCATTACCACTGCCTTAAAAAGAAGCAGCATATGATAGGTTTCATCCGAGTGGTCCCGTTTTCACAGCACATCGGCCAGAGGTAAGAGTATCACCGAATAATGTATGTAGTTTACCGAGACAAAGTAACTTATTATTAATTACATTTGTATTCTTAAACAAAACATGTTGATAATTGTCTTGTCAATAGCTTTGATTGAACTTCAACAACATTTTTAAACGTAATTATACAGAGCAATCTGTCGTTCTGTGGTTGATCGTTCGACGCGTAAACCACAAAGGCAATTAGAAACATCACGTCTACCTTTCATCCTCCTTACAAAAGCATGCCTTGACATTATTATGAATGCCTGTTCAAGTGAATACATGTAATAAGAAGAGTGTGATGTAATTTTAAGCCACTAAAACTAAAATGTAAATCACGTGCGCCGATTGTAGTAACCGAACCTTTGATCTACCCTATGAGATTAATGCAGAAAAGCCGTGTTTCTTGTTGTAGCTGGGGGACTGTGCATTTCAGTGTAAAGACAAACGTAGACGACTTTGTAAATACACTGCTAGATGATCTCCATACACCGTATCCGTCATGGGCATTGTTTTTCTATACATAACCACACAATGCTAAGTGTGGGTTAAATTAAAAACCTAGGACCAGTAGTGACATTTAATCAACGCCGATTTTAACCCGAGCTGGGAATCAAAACCAGGTCGCCGGGTTCATAGCACAATGCTCTCAACCACTGTGCCATTTTGCTCCAGACTATTTCAGGTGCACGTGTACATAACTAACACTCGCGTATACGACCACATTTTAATTGTGCTTCAATCATCCCACCCCCAATCTGGGTTTCATTAAACAATAACCTTGGCCTACTCTTGCCCTAAACAATGTAATCAACTTCATCGGTCTGCACGAGATACTATGAATTCAAGGACTGCATTGGCAGTTGAGGAAGTACGGGAAAAAAAAAACCGTACGAGTGACAGAATGTCCAGCCTTTTCACCCAGAGATTGTATTGTAACTTAGAAATGCCAATGTTTGACATTGTTTAAGTACTTTGCATCTGTCAAATGGGCGAGTACTTTAATGCATTGGACTAACTAATCTTGGTCAGATGGACTTGGCGAGAGAAATTTGCCGTGACATGCAAGGATTTACCGAGGGTTGAACAGAGTATGTGATGGAGCTGGGTAGTTTAGATGTTTTTCTTTAGTTACGAATGAAAGGCTGTTTAAAAATGTGCATAAATCAAATATAGCAGTTCACTGCTACGAAAACCTACTTGTCCAGATTAAATTTCACATTACCAGTCTGTTACCGTTCTGCGACTGTTGCGTGAAATCACAGAAAACCAAGCCAACAATGAAACAAGTATGACTATAACAATGCACAATCACGCTCAACGGCACCAAGCGATTAAACCGTTAGGACAAACGTAACACGATTTGTGGTTTTTGAAAAAGGGATTACCGTCATGGACTGGACCAACTGCAGAATCCTTTAAATGTCATGCTATTGGTCCATTAAACTCTAATGTTACAATGCAGACAAAAAATAATTCCATGACATCAGCCAGTCAGTCAAGCATTGACTGAGAATTCAATGCGAGGCCTTATGAAAAAAATACACGCAACGCAAAGCTAAATGTCATGTGCCAATCAGTCTGCAACCGGCAGGCAGATGTCTGTAACAATGGAAGCCAATTACTGCTTGACACACAGAGCTAAACAAACTGGATATCTAGCATTGGCTTTTCTATCCTGTGTTGCTAAACTGAAAGTATACAATTTATCTATTAACCATTGTGGAAAGGTGGTATTTTGTTCATATAAATATACAGTTGAGAGCTCAAGCATTATTGTAATTATTTTGATGTATTTCGATTCTGTTAGTCATAATCAAATGTCTTCCCAACATTCATGTTCCAAACATATTCCTGCCTGCAATGTCTTAGGTACCTGCAAATGCCACATTATAAATAACATTTGGATACTGGCATGTGTGGTTAATGAATTCAGAGAGACATATCTCACAAGTGTACTATATTATACTATGTCACACAATTTTTGTTCCTGGGTAGTGTTATTTTCTAATTGCTTATGCCTCAAAAGTATAGAAAATGGCAATTATCCCCCACAAACTTTGCTTTTGTGACCAGGACTTAACGTGAAGGAGTTACACAAATGCACACGTTTTCGCATTGAAAATAGGTACATTTCAAAATATCACTGTCCTGCGCAAAGTGTGGGGAATAGCCATTTTCTGTACTTTTGCGGCATAAGCAATTGAAAAATAACACCTACTACCCAGGAACAAAAAAATGTTTTTGTTACACAGCAAATTATTATTGTATAGGCCATTTGTATAGGCTATTTGAAGCGAAAGAGGAAAATGTGAGGAATACAGATGGCTACATTGTCTCATGACACACTGCATATAAACACAACAGGGATTGATTTATGAAAAACACATTTTACAAATGTTGAAGTAAAAAAAAGACCAAGCATACTAAAAAATATATCAGCCATGGTCAATCCATGGCCAGATTTAGGCCTCCCTCCCCAAGTCACCACCACCTCCCACGATGATCTGCAAACCAGCTTTATTTCACACTAATTCCTCGATGGACATCCTCAGACATTTATTTTCCTTGGCTGCCACTCCATTATTCTTGAGCATCATCCCTTCTATCGACGTGTCCTGGCATTTGTGAACCACGTCATATCAGTTATACATACCGATTAAAAACTCTTCTTTTAAGCTTCACCAATAAAACAATTACAAAAACAATTTGGATTTGATGCTTTCGTGACCGCAGGAATCCATACTTTTGTTCTTTCGGTAAAATCACCTGATGACGGACGCTTGTGTTGCAACCGAAACGTCGTGTTTTATTATTTTTTCTACCTACGTGACTTTACCGAAAGAACCAGAGAATATAATTACCAAAACAATTCAGCTGTAACCGCAGCAGACTCCACTAGATAAATCAGATGCAAACAAAAGAGACTGTTTTAATATATTTATTGAAGTTTTTTCATATGTTCATTTATCTACTTGAGGTTGTTATTTTTAAAAGTATGGTCTGGTGCGTTAAAAATAACCAAAACAAAGTTTTTACTATTCACAACTAAAAATGAAGTTACACACTGAAAATATTTCCATTATCAACATAACATTTTCAGATATATCAGCCTCCTACTGGTCACAAGCCCCCACCTTGCCTTTATCCTTAGAGTATGCAATGACATGTCATAATTGTTAACAGATTAAAAGGCGATAATGCAAACTTGCACATTTATCATCCTTCGAACAGAACGTGCCTAAAAAAGACGCAATATTTTATCTCTGACAAAAGTGTTTAGTGGTTTAAAAGTCGTTCACCCAAGCGTTTCTATTTATTTATATCCTTTCAATAATAGCTTGGGTGAGCTTACAAGGAAGGTGGGCACTGAACTCTGCAATTATTTATTTAACAAGGCTAATATACACCATATATGAAACATTCTCTCATGTCAACGTTTTAAGCAAACGAGCACACTGCAAGTTTTCGTCGGCATGACAGATATCATCAGTATGCTTGGGCTGTCACACAGAGCCCTCTGCTGGGGCCGTTTCGTTGCAACACGTCCCAGTGGTAGAACATCCACTTGCCGCTAGAGCAGAGGGCAACCCCTTAGCTTCTGCAATGAAGACACTGAGCGCTGTCTGCCGAGATGGGCCAATTGCGTGGATTAAAGGACATCTGTTCCGCTGCAATAGTTTTGAGTCTCAATTTCAAGAACCGTGTTAGCACATTTGTATCGCTACATATATGTGCATGTATATATGCATGCAACACAGCCATTACTTGCATTGGAAAACTGGGGGTAGGATATAGGTGTATAAGACATATGCTACCCAATCAGTCACAAGGGAATAAATAAGCCATGGAAAGTGCCAGTCCATTTGTGAAGACTTCATCCATCCATCCATCCCAAAAGAGCCTCAGTTTTATGCACTTGTAATGACTTATGCATTCATAAATGCATTTCTTAAAATACGAGCTACCTTCACTTCCTGTTTAACCACTGCACACCAAAGGTACATTTCACCCTACGCATTTGAGTAAAAATCCAATGCTCTCAAATGTTACACTGTTAGTTCATGTTGCAGTCAAAGAAAAGAAACAGTTTTAATGAAAAAAAAAGCTGTAAAAGTGGATGGTTTAGCGAATGGAATACCATACGAAATTTTCGTAGAACAAAAAGGTAAAGATAACTGGCAAGTATAGAGCACAATTGGCAGAATGTCAATTGTTGAAACCGGGACCATTACCAAAGGATGTGAGATTCAACATAATTATAGGAGTGTTACAAAAATCGCCTACATATACATTTTTTACACGTTTGTTACAAAATAATTAACAAGACTTCAATTCGAAACATGACAATGCAAACTTTAACCCAATCGCCATCACCTAAGCCCAGATTTGTTAAAAGCTTGTTGCAGAATTATTTTGCCATAGAATTATATAACCATGTTTTGAATATAAAACATAACAGAAATTGTGCACCATTTTTTTACATTGGACGAATACTCAAAAAATGTCCATGTTATATAGTAAGTTAATGAAGATGAAGTAAATGTTCCCTGGTTGGAATATACAAGATAACAGCTTTAAGGAGTTGCTCAGCTGCGTAAGTTATTGAAATTACAAACACCTTTTTTGGTTGTTTTCAGCAGTTGCAAAACTTTTTCAAGTTGCAAAAGGGGTCAGGGTACAGAGGCTGCCCGTAGCAAACATGCAGTCCATGTCAATTCACACCAAACAGTGCCCATTGAGTAATGGAGAAAAACCAGTGAACCACTTTTCATCAACGACAGCAAGACAGGACGACAAAACCATCCAACAGTGTTCGGTAAGTGGCCCTTCAAGGGTATAGAGCACAAAGGAAATAAACAAAGCAACACGTCTTTCGTTTTAGTGAAAACTGACGGGGTTCTGTGAAAAGTGTTCATCGAACGTCAGCGCATTTGTCAACACGCCTTTTATGTAGAAACGACAAAAAGTTTTACTTGTGTTGCTAGTTCCGTTACATCTGATAACATACATGTACAGCCCTTTTTTCCCAATATACTGCTGAAGGAGGGCCTCCCTATATCCGTCAATGTCATGGAGGATATTTTACCAGAATCCCACTGTACTGGTCGGTGTGGGTTAATGAAGGCAAGGGATTATAGACTCGGGAGCATAGCAGTACAGCACAGCATTGGCTGTTGTTGCACAACCCTCTGCTGCTTGCTATGTCGCCCCAGTCAATAACCCATTGTGCATGTGGCCACCCATCAAAGAATCAGGGATGATTAGCTTCCCAGATTTGTGGAATTTCCGAGAGATTTGGCCATAGGCCTTTAAGAAAACTGTATTTATTAACTGGTGACATGATTCACCAACACTAACCACGAGGTACTTGCAAATGGGAAAACCACGAAGGATATATAGCCAAAAATAACATCACACTTCGGAAAAAAACAAAGCATACGGAGGACATTTTCATGGAGGACATTATTCACAGCACACATGATCTGAAAGCCACCAGTTGATAATGGAGTGACTTCCAAAAATTTATTTCTGCAGAATTAGAACTAAAGACTCCCAGAGGTTACAGGCGCAGGAAGCTCTGCTGAGCAGGGATTTTGCCTAATAGTTTAGTCCACTGTATCTGTACCCCTGTAATCATCTTGCAAGACACCAATTATTTTTAAACGAGAGGCAATAACCAAAAAATAATAATTTAGCACGTCTGAATAATAATTTTTACCATGCAGAAACCATGGCAAAAGGGACATGTATTCGGGAGGTTCGTCGTAACAGCTTCAAGGCTCCTCGCCGATGAGCATTAGTTTGCGACCAAAAGCCCAGGGAGCCCATTACACCCAAGTTGAAATAACCAACAGTCAGTGACGACATCTGCCCAATGACATATGGACCATTGTGGACAGTTGCAATCCAGACCTACCGATATGGGGACCAAGAGTTTTTTTTTTCAGGTTAAGAGGCCAGTATACCCTTGAGACCTGATCATTGCATTTCGTGAATACACCAAAAAAGGAATAAAGAAATATACGAATGCAACGTGTAAAAAAGTCCCTACGTGAAAGTCCAATGTTATTATAAAGGTAGACAATGCTGTGTTTTTTAAAAAAATAATCCTGCAACACCAGCAAAGCACAAATACAGCATATTACAAACATGCACAAGCTCTCAAATGTTGACACGTGTCTATAGTTTGGCACAATTGTCAGAATGTTTCAGCTGTACAATCCTTACTTTTCAACGCGATGGATTTTATGTAAAGGTTTATACGCACAACATAATTTAATTGATGAACGTGGAATTATTGGAATGCAGAATGTTAAAAATAATAAATAAAAAGGATTGGGAAAAAAAGGGACAAAGGGAAAATATAACTTACTTATGCAGTTATCATAGACATGGGCTGTATGTGAATTGGTCCATTGACGAGGTGTCTGCAAATGTAATATGCAACAGCGTTTGTAACGCACGCAATACATACGCTGCACAAAAGCACTTATGCGAGATTAAGAGTTCAAAAATGTCAAAATATGAAAACGATACCTATAAGCATCATCAAAATAATTAACAGCTTATTTTATTTAATGAACATTTCAAAAAAATAAAAAAAATTACACGCATAAGAAACACTAAGACACACGAAACCCTCCGTTGGTTTGTGCCACGTAAACACGCGTTTACGTCTGGAAACTATTTTCGCCTTCCACCGGCGCAGTCGACTGGAATGATCCTGACTGCAGGTAAAAGTGCACGGCCTCCGACACCTGGGGGTTTCCAGCAAACGATCCGGATTCCGGCCCCGGCGCGTCCGGCGTAGACACCGCCTCCTGCACCATGCACATGCGCCGCTGGTGCTGCTGTAGCAGGCTCTGGAAAGGGAAGCCCTTGCCACACACGCTGCACTCATGGATGAACACGCCGATGTGCAGCAGCGTGTGCTTCACGAGGTTTCCGCTCGACGTCGTCTGCAGGCCGCACACCTTGCACACCAGCTTCTCCATGTCCACGTGCAGCCGCGCGTGCCTCCGCACCACCGCCATCTTCTTGGGCACGGCCATGCCGCACACCTGGCACGGCATGGAGCCGTAACCATCGTCCGAGGTGTCCGCCATCCCGTCGGACGTCTGCTGCGGGGGCTGCGGAGGCTGCCGGCGCTGCCAGGCGTTCTGCCGACCGGCGTACGATTTACGCATCTTGCAGTTCTTGTAGTGCAGGCTGAGCCGCGCGGGAGAAAGCAGCTTCTTACCGCAGTCATTGCAGGAGAGGACCGTGATGCCGGCGTGGGACAGGATATGCTCCACGGCCCTGTTGAAGAGGCTGAACTTGCGCCTGCACACCCTGCACTCGAGAGTCTCGCGATCGACATGCATCGTTGCATGCTCACGCAGGGAGGACATGTTCTCCTCCAGGGTCTCCCCGCAGATCTGGCACTGCACGTACCCGTACGCCTTTGGAGAGTCAACAACTGATCCTTCCTCAGGCGTTTCGTTTTGCAAGCCCGAGGCCGTCATTAACGCCGTTGGCATGTACTTTCCTTCCACTCCGATAACGTTATAATCTTGCTCATTCTGCAAAATCTCAATCTTGTCTTCTTTCACGTGCATCCCTTGGCTACCAACAATGTCGGCAGTGTCGTAGGAACACATATTACTCTCGTCATCCATCTCTTGTTTAACCTCTATCATGGGGAGGGGCAGCTGTCCATTTTCGTCCTCCGTGGACCCGCGCGGGATTCCGTCAATTCTGACCTGATCTCCGGAGCTCCCATTGTGAAATCCGATAATGGACTGCTGCTCAGAGTTTCTCCTACACCTACCCTGGCTGTCATCGGAACCACTCGAATATCTCGGACCCAGGGTGGGAAAGATGTCCTTCTCATTTCCGCAGCCCTCCATGGCCGACTCGTGACCTGCATATCGCTCCTGGAGACATTGCGTATTGTTAACACGCTCAGTTTTTATCTCACAGCTCGCCCGCGCTTTCCTGTCTTTGAGGTTTGCACTCTCGGTTCTCTTTTTCAGCTGAACCAGCTCCCTGACGTCTGCAGTGTATTGCTCCCGTTGCACATCATCATCGAAGGAGGCGCTGGTACCATTTGCGATCTCATCCACATCGTCGAGCGTTTCCAGGATGGGCTGGATGATCAGCTCGAGCGACTCGAGGCCTAGGTTCTGCGCCGCACTATAGAGTTCGCGCACGTCGCCCCGGCCGACCAACACGTCCCCGCGGTACAGGAAGTCCAGGACCTTCTCAAAGGCCACCACCCCCACAAAGTCCAACACGAATGGACCCAGGCTGCTACAGGGCGCATTGAAGAGAACGGTCCGGAAGTATCTGCAGGTGCTGCTCAGCACGGCCTTGTGGGCCAGGTAGCGCCGGCTCTGCACTTCCACGACGACGTCGCAGAAGGAGCCCGTCTGACGGAGCTCGCACAGCTCTCCCAGCAGCTCGGGCATCATTTGGACGTTCTTCAGGCGAAACCCATCCTCCACCGCCTCCGCCATGGTAGACTCCCCTCTGTCAACTAAAGGGGGGAGGGGGGAAATGTGTGTTGGAATTAGTTTGAGCAGGCAAAACAAGCATTTCCTTAAGTTTATTAAAAAATTAATGTAAAGTTTGGCAAGCCACAAAATGACGTCCTCCTTGGCATTTGCACACGGGCTAATGATGGCCACAGCAATAAAGCTGCTAGGTGCTGATAACATTAGCTTGCAGGTATTAATTCATATCGCACACAAAAAAAAACCTCAATAATCTTACCTATATTTCTGAGTTTTTTTCAATGTTACATCGTAAAAGAAACCACTGTGTTAAAGTATGTCAATCAATAATGTTTAGCATGCCAAAATGAAAATTAAAGCACAATATCTAGTTTGCTCATGTGTGTGTGTTTTCAAAAGTCCACTCATTTATCACTGGTTCACATAAATTGTCAGCCTGAATTCATATTTGAATAAGATGTGCATTGCATTCAGCTGTTTAACAACCAATGTCAGCTGCGTTAAAACCACTAGGGTATAAAGAGCTGTTACTGGAGATAAGGGTCTGTGTGATATGCACACCATAGTAACTTTTTCAGACTAATTTTATACTCAATGCTTTACATTTTCCCCTATTTTTTTTAACAATATGCAAATGAATTGTGTAATTGCAGTACTCACTATTGTTATTCTTAAAAAAATGTCCTTTTGGTTGCAACAAGCGATTGAGCTGGTCACGCAGGTAACATCGCTATCAATGATGAAGTGCAAATTTTGCCAATACCTCCAGGACCAATGAAAACAGGAACACATTGTAATACACATCTATACCGTTAACTTAATTCACCTAAAAACATCATTGAAACTAATTTGTATTATGAACGAAGTTCAGGAGAGACAGTCTAGGTACACAGCTACAAGTGATGTTTTATTAGCTGGGTCTTCCTTCAACGGAAATCACTAATTCCATTTCATGAAAGATTGGCGCAATTATCGAAACTGAGTTATTAGTTTCCATCAGACAACTTCAAGCTCCATCAGTTGGACAGTCCATCTTTAAATAAATCAATCGTCCAATAACAGACGATTCTCGTCAAAATGTACATACTGCATGTTCATTCAGATGAAAAGATTGACCGACGATTCGAGTTTATTATGTCGGATAACCATCACGAGACGAATGTTAAAATACCATCCACCAAAGGATTTATAATGAATTGTGGAGTATCAGAACTCACTTTTTACTTCTTATAAGCTGCACTGTATCCTCTTAAGGGGGCAAAGGCTGACAGCCTTTTAACAATACTTATACAGTATGCGATGTTTGCTGGCAAGTACGTCCAGTCAAAAGTGATTGAGCTGCAAGGTGAATAGGACCTTCCTCGCGTTACTCGCGACTTTTGTGTTTAGTATTTTTCTCTATTCGTGTTTCTGAATAATGGGAATTCCACCCACCACCACTCCCCCCCCCCCCCAAATGCTGTCCGTGCTTTTATTTTATTTTTTTCTTCAGTTGGTTAGGGTAAAACAAAGCATTTGGAAACAAAAGGGCCATCGAGCGGGTACGTAGCGGCCGGCAACGTAACGGCTGGGTGGCCTGAAAAGCAAAGCAGCAGATGGGGGGGGTGTGTGTGGAAGGAGAGCAGAGACAGAAGACAGAACTTGGCCCACACATACGGCTAAACTACGCTTCCAGCTTTAGGGCGTCTCGTGAAAATACCGTCGACTACAAAGCCTAGGGAGCGGCGCGCAATACACCGGGCAACACCGCGAATTCGCCCCCTTTACTTAATGTGCTTGCAACACACCTGGCAGCGGGGGCATCGTTTTGCCAGGGCTAGCTCAGCGGTGTGACACTGTAAATACACCATGCACTCGGACAACAAAGGAAGGCTTTTTAACCGCACCTCAACCCACGCTACGAGACAGAAGCGGCGTACATATAACCACTCCACGTATATATACCGCTCCACCGTACATTCACCCCCCCTCCTCCTCCTGCAGTATCACAGTACAGTATCGAGCCGCGTTATATACGTGGGGCCGATTGCACGTACGGTTGGGTTAATCAACTTCTGCCCACGCTACTCTGCGTACAACGATTAAATCGTGCCGATTAAAGGAAATAAATGGCAATTACAATGGAAGTAACATTCCGACTAAATGGCATTATCGAGAGAGATAACACAGACACGACGGTGCAAAAAGGTGCGAGCAAACAATAATGGGACTCTCGATTATTTAAGCCCAAATTGTGTGCCGATGAGACCGAGGTGGAGGCCCGAATCCAGTCCGGAGTTTTCTTGCGCGATCAAATGCCCGTCGGGGACAGATCATTGCTTGGAAAAAGCCAACGAAGAAGCTCTCCGGACCCCCAAAAAAAACCCGTAACGTCACGGTCGGAAGACGGCAGAGCGGGGTGCCGCGTGTCTAGACTCTACGTGCAGCGCCTTTACTGCGTGGGGACCGCTACCCCTCGCGGCCACGCGGCCTCACACAGCCACTGGGACTCGCCAGGCTCGATCCCAGGCGCCACCGGCGGCGTCAGGGAGGCGTTCAACCCTCCTCGTCCTCGACGGCGAGACAAGTGCGGGACAGGACGACAAGCGTGACGGCCGGCACACGGGAGCCGCAAGCCACGCGTCTGATATCCCCACTCCACCTCACCAACCAACCACCACGCATCCGGCACGGCGCCTCCATTGAGCGGGGCGTGTGGGAGAAGAGGCCACTGGGACATTCACACTCATTGTCTCACGCCAGCCCCGGCAGGCGGCATTTTCTCATTGTACTGTACCGCCCACCGTCTCACGAATTCTCCCGCAGGTTTAAACCGCGTCGCGATCGTTACTGATCGCGGGCCCGCCACACAAAACCCCACTCGGGCCCTGGTGGCGGCAATAATGGGCCCACCTTAGCGTGTGTGTGTGTGTGGGGTGAGGGTGGGGGGCCTTCAGCAACAAAAGCGTCCGTCGCCACCGAGGGGCCCACGAATTGATTGTCTTTTCGCCCTCCAAGGAAGCGCGAACGACTCACGCCGAGCAGAGCGGGTGGCAGAGGGAGGCGGACCGCTTCGTGTTGATAAGACGACGACGAGGCCGAGAAGGCTGCGGCGGAGACGGGTGGGGGGAGAGCGAGCGAAGGGCGAGGAGGATCTCTCACGAGAAGCCCGCCGCCTGCCTGCCGCCTCGCTCAGCCAGCCTCCCGCTTTGCCCCTTGACCCCCACCCCTCCTCCCCCGCCGCGTGACGTCACTGCCTGCCGACGTCACCGCCCGCCCGTTTCCTGCGCGTGACGTCATTGCTGGGCCAACGTCACCGCCCTCCCCCCGCGCGACGTTTCCTTTCGCTTGACGTCACGGCGGGTGCCCATGTGGGAGGAGAGCGAGGCGGCGGAATCGCCCCGCCTTGTAAGCCACGAGGCCCCGCCCAACTCACGGCGAGCCACGCCTCATCCACGCCCCCGACTTCTCTCCAACGGGAGACGGCCAATCGGCGCGCGCCCCGCGAGGGGGATGGCCGTTATCGCCGTGGTAAGACGAACGCTGATTGGCTGAGGCGAGTTTAAATAGTGTGGGGAAGGGGGGGGTCCCAGAGTAAAGCAATTTTGTTCTCCTGCCTCGGCAGCTCTCCCGTTATATTTTTTTTCACCTGATGACGATTGCTTGTGTTGCGATCGAAACGTCGTGATAATTTTATTATTTTTCTATCTGCGTGGCTTTACCGAAAGACCAAGAGAATATGAATTCCTGCAGTCACGAAAGCTTTAAGTCAAGATTTGATGTGGCGCCCTTACACAGAGGCTACATAACGTTTAGTCTTACCGATGTATGTGATCTATAGTTCCAGTTTAGCACGTAGGCTTTCGCGACCAATATCATCCATAATACAGGTTTTTTTGGCTTTGATCGCGTAAACAACACGAATTGGCATGTTCCGTTTACGTGACAAACGTTACTAATTGGCTGTGGTATTGGTGGGGAAAAGCATTCGTGTTAGACAACTAGAATAAAAAATGAAATGCACGCATAGGGCATCCATAATACAAGGCTTAATTATACACTTACGTACGTTATTCCCAAATAACTTTCTCGTCGTGTACCCCTTAGCAGACCTATAAACTGTCCACGTACCCCTAACCGGCATTACGTTGTACACACAATAGTCTATAATTTGCATGTTTGGACAATCGGGCAAGGTGGATGGCAGGGCGGATTCCAAGTTGCAAGTTCCAAGCCCCGGGCAGCATATTCATGTTATGCTGCTGTAAGCCCTCTTTCAGCAGTCAGAAATATCAGAATGAATCCGATATAACTTTTCAGTACCACCCGTATAGACACGTGGCGGTTGCCCCCTCCAAACACAATCCAGGTCTTCATTTTTGCCTTTGGCTGCCGAGATTGGGGATTCGTTAATAGGCGTGAGAAATATATTTGAATATAGAATAAAAATATAAAGAGTGTATTCACGGACTTGAAATGGACGCGAGGTAATTTGGAGGGACCGGCATACACGCTCAGGAAAAAAAATATTTTCATTTATCAGTTTAACACGTAGGCTTTCGCGACCAATATTATTTTCATTTATATTTCTTCTATTTTCATTTATATTTCTTCTGAGTACAGTATATGCTGCTTACTGCCTTAACTTACCTTATTTGCCATTTAAGTCAAGGGGAACTAAATTAAACATGCATTGAATGCACAAAACTGGACGAAACAAGTGAAGATATTTGCAGTTTGTGGTTAGCATATCCGTTTTTATTGACGAGCCTTAAAATATCCATTCCAAACCATTATCAGTTTGTACAATAGCCGTATAAAAATGGAATTCTGCATCATGTTTTTGATATAAGACAACATAATACATGTAACGCTACTACAGGTAAAAAGGTCACCCACGCAATTTCATCCAAAATTTAAATGTACAGCATTTACAAGTACAGCATGTAACCAGGTTTGATTTGGTACACAGCACTCTTAAAAAATGCAAGGGTCGTGTTTCAATACAGGTGCCAAAATCTCAACCACCGACTCGTCATCTGTTCCCAACGTTTTTCACAAGAACAGCTTGTTCATATTCTTGGTTCTTTCGGTAAAGTCGCGTAGAAGGGAAATAATAAAATAATACAAATAAACAATAGAATTCTCATCTGATGACGATTGCTTGTGTTGCAATCGAAATGCAGTGAGAATTTTATTGTTTTACTTCATTATTGCCCTTCTACGTAACTTTACCGAAAGAACCAAGAATATGAATCCCTGCAGTCACGAAAGCTTTAAATCGAAACAGCTTGTTCCTTAGAATTCCAACAAGGCGTAATCCTAGAAGCTTTTGAAATGTGTTGCAGTGCATCAATAAAAAGTGTACAACATAACCACTTATAATCACGATGACATTAGACCCAGGTATATCAAAACATATCGCAACATAAAAAAAACAAATTGAATTTCCTTCTCTGCTCTGATACAAAGCAGTTCAATTACCGATTCTGCAAAGAGTTCCTGGCTGGACGATTCCTTGTTCTAGTCGACAAGCCGAACGACCTTGTCCTTGAGAACTCTGAACTTTGGATTACTTTGAATCTTCTTATTGAACAAGGCCAAGAGTTCCTCTTCAGTGTGTGGCTTCCCACCGACGTCCATAGCCAAATACTGGCCCAATACCTGTGGGTTAACATAACAAAATTGATGACCAAACGAAGCGTCATGGATGCTTTTTAGAGTGGGTGACCGGGAAGATCGAGAACAATCCTGTTGACTTATAAAAAATATCCTTAGTCGTGATGGCCACTCTTTATGCATGTAAAACATTACCTTCTTCCTCAGCTTTTTAACCGACATCTCCTTGTTCTCAGCCACACGCAGTACAGCCGTGATTGTTCCTTTCCAGTTAAATTTACTTGCTGAGAAATGCAGAAAGATAAAAAAATGCACATTTCACAAGTGTGGCAGGCATCTGACAAGTTATGTATATGTATACATAAAATTGCAGGTATAATCCAAAATACCTGCACATTGTTCTAAATCAGCTTAGCACAAATCAGGGCTCTCATACCTTTCTGTGGGCCATTTTCGCATTCGTCTTTCTTAGTCTCATCAGCTATCTTACTCTTCTTCTTTTCTTGCTCATCTGAGAAACACAAGATTGTTCAAATTAAAACCACCCAATAATATTTCAATGGGGGGGCTTGAGGTGTTGGCTAAGTGGTAAGTGCACTTGAGTTTGATTCCCAACCATGGCCAAAATTGGTGGCGAGTGATTTCTGAAATATCTTGAACATTTCTGGACTCACAACCGTTCATCAATTCACATTGAGCTGCACGGTGAAATATGGTCAAATAATCCCCATGACTGAGAGGCATGGGGAGGCCTTTATCAAGCACTGGATTTTTAAAAAGGATTATACTGGTAGGAAACGTAGTGGACTGGAAGCCCAACCGGGATTAATTCACAGGAGGCAGGGGATTAATTGTGTATGTCTGTGGATGTCTGTCCACGTGGGAGGGGTGGCGCTGGGTGGAGAGGGGAGGGTAGGGAGGGGCTGGGTGGGGAGGGGCTGGGTGGGGGGTGGGAGGGGTGGGGCTGGTACTGGTAGGAAATGTAGTGGACTGGAAGCCCAAACGGGATTAATTCACAGGAGGCATTCACAGGAGGCAGGGGATTAATTGTGTATGTCTGTGGATGTCTGTCCACATGTATCCGGACACCCGGATATATATAAAACGGAAGTGACGTCATGGGTTCAACCAACAGAACGTCTAACCACAGGGGGGTTTCTACACAGTTGGAATATTCCAAATCAAATATAACCAGTCCGTCAACAAATGTATGACGGATGTACATCAAATGTATATACAGAAATAATACTGGTAGGAAACATAGTGAACTGGAAGCCCAACCGGGATTAATGCACAGGAGGCAGGGAAAATTCACAGGAGGCAGGGGATTAATTGTGTATGTCTGTCCACGTGTATCCGCACCCGGATAAAATGGGAGGGGTGGGGCTGGGTGGAGAGGGGAGGGTGGGGAGGGGCTGGGTGGGGAGGGTGGGGCTGGGTGGGGGGTGGGGAGGGTGGGGCTGGGTGGGGGGTGGGAGGGGTGGGAGGGGAGGGGCTGGTCACCCTGTGGTGCCCTTATAAAACTCAACGTTTAACCTACTCAGGCCGGCTTGTGCCCGCCCTCACAGTCAGGCATATTTGTGGAATACACCACGCCACCGTTGACCCTGGCCATTGACCGAGCAACCCAACGTTCCTACCAGCTCCCTCCGCAGGAATGTTTTTTAATTTGATCTTAAAATACATTACTACACAAAAGGGAAAAATAAATAGCAATATCCAGTAAACTGGAAGATGATCAGTGCTGAACTAAAATGTAAAATGACATTATGCAAAAAAATCCAAAAGTACTATTCCTTTAAAAAAGGCCTGTATGTGATGCCAATTTTAATTTACTTCAGACACACTAGGACCAGGAGTTTCAATATTCAGGTGAACTATGAAAGTGAAATGTCCATTTTTGATACATTTTGCTAGCAGATGCTTTTTTTACCTGAAAAATACAAGCCATCAATATTGTCAGCTGGAGGTGTAGTAGTTATCGTAAAACTATGTGTATATGTTCACAGTTGTGCCGTTTTGATGACCACCCCTCACCTCCATTGCGTTTGACCTTTTTAGCTTTGCTCGGCTCTTCGCTATTCTCCTTCTCACGAGTCACCTGCTCGGCCTCCTCCCCCTTCCGCTTGCGTTTCTTTTTCCCTCCGGTCTCTCCATTCTTCTGCACCTCCCCATTGCCCTCCTCCGCCGCCTCACCCTCTTCTTCAGTCGCCTGTCCTTTCTTGTTTTTATTTTTCCTCTTCTTGCTCTCTTCATTTTGCTCCGAGTCATCGGTGTTCTGAGCCCTCTTATCCTTTTTCTCGACTCTGTTTTTCTTTTGACGCTCCTCCTTCCTCTCTTGTTTACTCTTTTTCCGTTCCACGGGTTCCTGCTTTGTGTTTTCATCATCCAGCAAAGTCTCCCCATTCGTGGGCACCACATTGCTTTGTGGAGTCTCCTCATTCTCCACCTTGTCCTGCTGCTGGTGGTTGGGGTTACCTTGGTTCTGGACGGAAATAAAACCCAATATGCCACTGTGAATAAAGTTAAATATTGTAAAATATTATTTTGTTCTTCATCACAGCTGTCACAACAAAACAAAAGGTAAAACCATGTCCTTGACGAAGGGATGAGTGATGTGAAGTTGGCGGCTACCTACATAGTGTATCTACATTAATTAAACTTGATTACATTACTGTTGGTCTTGTTTGATCAGTTTGTATTGTTTACAAGCCTATCATTTTGTACCATCAATTGTATTACCTGCATCAATCTACCTGCACTATGTGTCCTCGTCTGTATTGTTTGTACTGTCTGCACCATTTGATATTGTTTGATCCTGTGCTCGCTCTTGCATATTATGTCTATGCCGTCCTGTCTTGCACATCTTGTGCTTCTGTTTTCCCCGTTTGCAATGTCTGGTTCTTGTTTGCACTCTTCTATTTATACTGTCTGCATCACGAGTCCATAGTAAAAAATAAAAGTTGAAACACTCCTCACCATAACCCTAGCCAGCTACCACCTTCCTTGAGCTCAGAGGCAATCGTTTTATTGGTCCAGTCCCCTCCAGGCACCAGAGCCTTTGGCTCCAACACAGAAACTTTCAAACCTCACGACCAAACTGTTCTCTTACGTGTGATGAATGATCTTTCTATAGACCCTGGATCACTCTCAATTGTAGTTCTCCACGAGCATCCTGATGCTTTTGACACCACAAATAAGAGTCCCTGCAACGGGTTGAGTACTCAAGGATACCCGTGGGCATCCCACAAAATGGGTCGGTTTCGATTAATTCCGAAGACATGCTCAAGTCTTGCAGTTCATCGCAGGTTACTCGCGGTAGCCCGCGAGTGTCCTGTCGAAGCCCCAGTCAGCCAACCTTCACTCAGTGGGGGGTTGCCCATTCTACTCTGCTGTCCATTTAGTCTGGAACCACGTTCCCCCCTGCCATCCATACTCGCTCTTGTTCAATTCCATGCTCAAGACTTTTCTTTTTTCCTCTGCATAAGCCAACTGTTTCTGTACACTGGTTTTAATATGCGGTCTCATGTAGACATTACATAATTCTAAATTACATTGCACTGTACACAGTAAGATAACCGTCATTAAGCTCATACGTTCAATTACCAAACTTTCTGTTCCAACATTTCATACCAAAGCCATATGACGAGACCTGTAAAACAACACGAACTTCAAGCATGTAGTAAAACCACAAATAGTGACATTTGGGATCTTACACAAATGGCATTGCTTGTGATATGCATATGCTTGAGCGTGATGCACAAAGGCGAGGGGAGAAAGCACCCTCACCGCATGTGCCGAGGAGAAGACCTCCCACACCCTGTCCAGCAGCTCCTGCTTGTGAACACGTAGGCTGTTTTTCATCCAGTTCTAAAAACAGACACATTTTCCACAAGCAATGCAAATGCTGCGAGGAGACACAGGGAACAATTGCCACTGACAAATTATAACCTTGCACGCCCCTTGGCTAGTGGATTTAATATTTACATGCATTGATTAAATGACTTATGAGTCGTTCTCCTCACCGTACGTTGGGTATGTACGGTACGAAAGAACTTCCAACATACGTTAATTTGTAATACAAAATATTTTCATGGCATCTGAAACCAAATACATTTGACAATATTCATACAATTCATTACGATAAAAAAGTGTTTAATTTTAACTTCCAAATGAAATATGCTGCTGTAAATACAAACTACTGTATATATTCAAGCAATATTTTTACAAAAACTACAATACCTGGAACTTTGGCTTCTTCCTTGGGACATTGTCATAGCCAACAATTGAGTTCATGATATCACGGACCTGGGGGCTGATGCCTGGGGCATTGATTGCATCTTGTACTTTCTGAAGAAATCAAACACAAATCAAATTATGCAGTGATACTAATGGGACATGAACTAGCTGCAACCAAAGTAATGCATGCAAAAAGAGACATTATTTTCCAACGAGAAACTGCAAAATGAAATGTAATTTTATTTCTTTGCATGTCAGCATGTTTATTCGCATTGTTTTAAATACATACACTTAGGGGTGCTATCTCTTTGATAGCGCTAGATACTGAGTTTGTGAACATGACAACGATGTAATCAGGGCAGTAGAGGCACAAGTTGTTTTCAAGAATAAAATGTAAACATTTCGCCTGAGTTGTTATCTCCTTCCATATAAGGAGTTACAGGATGTAAGCAACATAAATCAGCTCAGTTAATCTGCAGGTTGTGATGTTCTAGTGCAGACACAATGCACGAGGCATGTATTTATACAAAACACAGAGGAGGCACACACCAAATACAGATAACCATCTGCATTGCCACAAATCGAGCCCAGACAACTGAGCTGGCACACCGTGTATACCACGTGATGGTGATACCATGTATGTTCACTACACACAAGACTCGGCGAGACTACAACCAGGCTCACAACACGCACATTAAATCACATTGTGTGTAAGAACTGGATATGTCCGATTAATACAAACCATACGCAAATGAGACGTGCATATTACATCAAGGTTAATGAAGGGAAATAAAATGGTAAAGATGTAACAAAAAAAAATTCGAAGTAGAAAAGGAAGAAAAACTATTTTTGTTTATCGAATTATGCCTCGTAATTGTGAAAATTCATTGAATCGCTGGGAAGGTGAATTATTGTATACCAAGTGAGTACACTGGATCATTAAGAGTCCTCATGAGAGCAGATTACAAGCCACAATAACCTGTAACCACAGCTGCTGCTTGACATCTCCTTTGCTGGCCTTTGCCTCAAATCCCTTGCCACCATACTTCTCGTTCTCGCTGATGCACCGCAGGTGTGTTTTGTAGTCCTGACCCCTGTACAGGCAAACAGATCACAAAACATAAAATCTGATCTCTTCTTATATAGGTATATATAGCACCTTATTCCAAAGCACTATATAAAATGTGCAATAACAAATACAGTACATACAAGCTCAACAGACCTACCATTTGAAGACTGTTGTGGGGCATTCTAGGTACTACATGAATCTGATTCCACATCTCAATACGAGTTGCATCACTAATGCCATGGCTGGACGTATGGAGGTTTAAAAGGCTGAAACTTACACAAGAAGAGCTTCAAAAGACTAAGTGTATGTGGGTATAGTTGTTATTGGTGGAGCTCAAACTATATTTTAATGATTTGATAGGTAGGATTACATTTTTATGAACACGGTGTTTGTTGAAGATGGCATTACATTAACATTCAGATGTTATTAATTCTGAGTATTGTATTTCATTAGAATTTCACTTCATCTTGAATTGTTCCGTGGAACGTGTTTTCTACATGATGTATTTTATTTAAGAACCTTTGCAAATTAAATATCTTTTTGCATAAATGGCTCTGGTTTTCCGGTGAGTGCAATATCTTTCAACCAAATCCTTACCGAAAGTCCATGCCACAATCGATGCAGGACAGGCACTGGCAGTTACGGCATACGTTCAAGTGCTTCTCTACCTGGGCCTTCTTCACAGACTCCCCACACGCATCGCAGGTGAAGAACACCATGGTCTGCTTCTATGGCACCTCAAGGCACAACAGAAAAGCCGGAGACTTAAAAAAATACAGCTCAGCTGAGAATTAGAACAGACTTCCATCGACCACTAGGGGGCAGGCAAACATAAGACAAGAACACCTTTTACACTTCACCTCTTGACAACAAAACGCGAAATTCAATGTTGGACCACAAGTTGAGGCTGGACATCGTTGTTTCTTGCCCTGACGATAGCAATCTGCCGCTTAAACAATGTGTCTGCTATCGACTGTAATGTACTATGGTGGGTGCATATTCACTTGTAATTTAGGCTGATACGGAGCAGGAGAAATAGCAGTCTAGCCAGTTTAACACCAAACATGGTCTGGGCACTAGAGCACACTGCATAACATCCATTGCGGTATTGTACAGTATGTCTATGCTCCCCACTTAACCAAACCACACTGTGTACAAGATAACTTATAAGAGGACATGTTTATCTGAAAGTTAACTTGTGGTGTTTTAAAATTGCCATTTTAGGATGTCAAAATGTTTTAAATGTACAGTTTGTTTAAATGCAGCAGTTTCAGAATTTGGCAAGTGCTCTCGGAAGTTAATAAGTAATATAAAAAAACACGCTTTAATGAAATGTACCGTACGAGTAATGTCAGAACTCCACGACTCCAGGAAGTGGCCCCGAAGCTTGCCATAATCGTGGTGAGCGTGGACAATAAGACCCAAGCCAAAACAAAACATATAAAAAATGTTTTTAAATATATTTTGTATTTTTAATTATAGTATTGTCATCAGTATGACATAAGAAAACCAAGCTTTCAGTCGATACCACATTGGGAAGTTGGTAAAATTGATTTCCAAGATTTGAGGATACAACAGATAGTGAGTTAATAAAAAGCGTGTAAAAATAAGACTTACGCTTTCAGCTGTGCAATTTTTTTTTCCTTTCCCATTGGCCTCCTCAGTTCTTACTCCCCTTAAGCTATGACGATTGTTTTTAAAGCTGCATGTGATATTTTTGATGTATTGTTTGTTCAACAGGGCCATAGACTACATTCACTTGCAATGCATCCAAATTGCAATTTTTTTCAAAATTCACGTTTTGTTTTCCTCCATTCACCTCTTACTTTTCTTGCAAGTTTGGACTATGGTATTTATTGCGATCACATTAAAGCCACTTGCAGTTGGATACATTTTTAGTAAAGCGATTTTATATCTTAACATTTTTTTTTCTATTTTCCCAAAACCGAGGCTTTTCCTATTGACATATATAGTCCAGGCCAGAATCTTAAATTGTTTTCGCAAGCTCCCGTCCCTTTACAAAACAATGTACACATATAAAGAATCAACGCGTGACACCACGTCCAATCACCGTACAAAGATGTGCCATGAAATACGGACGTGTGCAACTTGGGATGTGTAATATTGAAGGGGGAATGAAGTAATACTGACGGGAAGGATGGTACACCATGAGGATGAGTGACACGAGGAAATAAAAACCACAGTAAAATGCGTGGGAATCAAAGGCTTTGCACTGCATCTTGTTTATGGTGCCACACTATGTTTTATTGGGTGTTGAATTTATTGCATTTGAGGTTCCATAACGCCCCCTTGGGGTCATGCGTTGCGACGCATTGTGGGAAAACTGATCTGAAAATCACTGCTGAGTTTAATCAACCAGATAAGAACCCAAGACACCAGGCAGCAATAAAATAATATACAATAGTCTTTTTTATTGCTAAAACAGATGACCTTTTAACTCCATCAATAGGAATTTCAGCAGAAACTGCTTGAGCAGGCCAAGTCTAGAACAGTTTACTTTCTTAGCCTCACCAGCAGTATGTGATATGCTGGATAAACGTTTACGAGAGACTACATATCCGATCCAAGTAAATGCTACTGGAAAACCATGATCTGAAGGCCCATAAACAGACCCCTGGCCATTACTTTGTACCCCTCGGCCATCGAATTTGCGCCTATCCATTAATCATTGAACAACTGAGCATCGTCTGTTATTTCCTTGACCCTCCTCCACCCCGACATAAAAGCTAGTACTGTAACGTGTTGTCTCGGTCGCTTGTACATTCACTGCCGGATGAGGGCCGAAGGCGTTATTTGATTATACTTCCACCGCACTGCTCTCCATACGAGTTGAAGGCGGAGAGCATTCAAAGCTTTAAAAACTTGGCAAGTACCGTACAACAATGAGGCACGTCTGCTGATCTATATGCTCGTACCTACTGTATACTCCCAATGCATTTCCATGCACTGCCCTCGGCCCAGTGTACCAAAAACACACAGTTCGTTTCGCCATTAAACAAAAAACATTTAGGTTTTTCAGGGTTATACATCTGATTGGGGACAATGTTACCGTAGTTACCACATACTGGTGGTATACTGCATTTGATGAATTCGGCGGTGAATACGCCCATCGTGTTGTGTATCAATGAGAAGCCCTGATTGTGAGCCGGTAAACGGAGACGCAGTCCATGAAAGCGGCGCTAGTGCGATACGGGGCATGTACTTGTAACTCGCCCACACTTGTCAAACTCCCAACCCTGCTGCTGGCCTGCGAGGTAGCCAATGAAATACAAAAGAAAATGTTACGGAGTTTTGAGCGGAATCGCCTCCAGTACAGTACTCTCGTTATTCTTCCACGTATGCGTTGAACTGTCCAAATTATACCGAAGCAGAACTCTCTGAAATATAACGTTCAGAGTCAACGCTCTGCGACGTTTGCCTTGACACGTACACGCCGTTGTGTTCTCTCATCTCTAAGCCCGATTTGCCGGCGCTCGCATTCAATGCCGAGGCCGTGCACGGCGAGGCCACGTGGCGAGCGCTCCCCGCACACACTCAGCTCCCTCGCCCACCCCAGTGTTCAGGCACAAGCTGAACACTGGGGTGACCATCACCACGTCCCTTGTTACCTGAGTCCAGCACCGAGATCCTCAAAGACTTTGCCTGCTGCTGCTGCTAAGTGCCGGTGGTGGTGGTGGTGTTGGTGGCTCCGTGTCCTCCCACGTGTTATCCCTCTGACCCTTCACCTCTCACCCCGCGAGTCGATTCGACGATTCACGCGCGTAATCGATTCCTTGTAGCGCCGCGTGTTTTATCCAGCACATGAATAACCACAATGAAGGTTTGTTTATTATTTTGTGTTGGGTTAGATTGCGTAAATATAGACGCGTCGTAAAACCCGCCGCCACCCGACACCGCCAATTAGTAAGGGTGTGTCACGTGCAAAAAAAACGTGACGATTAGTTACTAGGGGCCGTCCATAAATGACGTCACGCACCTACGGGGTGCGGGTCAGACATTTGTGACGATGGGGGAGGGGGGGTTTGAGAAATGTGACGTCACATCAAAATGCGCAACTTTAAATAAATATAGACAACACGTGCTACTTAATTAAATATACTTCTTAATAAATGTTTTCTCCTACAACATCAGAGTGCAGCGCCACATTAAATACGCACTACAATGACAATAGTTTAAAGCGATTTGAAATTTGAAGCATGTTTTATTTTGGGGGGGGGGGGGGGGGGGCAGAGCTTTGTGACGTCATATTTGAGCGGGGGGGGGTTCTGACTTTTTGTAACGCCGTGTGACGATGGGGGGGGGGGGGGGATCAAAATCGCGTGACGTCATTTATGGACGGCCCCCCAGGTTCAGCACTCCGGTGTGTTGGAGAGTAAACCCACAACAACATTTACAATTCGAGTTACTGGCGCTTCGCCGGTGATTAACAACAACACCACAGAGCTGTCAACCCATACGGTTTAATTTTCGATTTAAAGCTTTCGTGACTGCAAGGATTATTCATCTTCTTTGGTTCTTTCGGTAAAGTCACCACGTAGAATGAGAATAAAATAATAAATTGATCAAATAAAATAACACAATAAAATTCTCACGACGTTTCGGCCACAACACAAGCGGCCTTCATCAGGTGAAGGGACGAGACTGTCCTCCAGACTGTTGTGGCCGAAACGTCGTGAGAATTTTATTGTGTTATTTTATTTTATCAATTTATTATTTTATTCTCATTCTACGTGACTTTACCGAAAGAACCATTCGGTTTACTCCGTATTCTTTCACACGGAAATCGAGTTTTCAGGTCCATACGGCCTACAGACATTTTAATACGGGCAAAAAATATTGAATTGTCCATCCTCGTGATGAAATTTGAGAGTTGCACGGGGTGACCGATAAGGTCTGAATTGGTCTGCTATAAGGTAGGCACTGATAAGGTGTTGACAGGTATGGTTTATATTAACGCGATCTTACCCATAATGTAACCCACAAAAAGTAATTATGGATATTTGTCGCCAAAGTCTTAGTGCTACGACTACGTGTTAATCTTACCCAGCATAGCACCCGCCGGCACGACAGAGTCGTAAGCACAAATAACAACTCAACACGTGCGCCAATAACGCTGTGCGTATGTGCGGCCTTAAAAGGGGAACACATAATAGGTGACGTTTGGGGCCGTCCATAAATGACGTCACGCACCTGGGAGGGGGTCAGACATTTGTGACGATGTGTGACGATATATAGAATTGTTATAAACACTAATTGTTATAACACTCATACAACATCAGAGTGCAGCGCCACATTAAATACGCACTACAATGACAATAGTTTAAAGCGATTTGAAGCATGTTTTATTTTCAAAATAGAAATATGGTTTTGGGGGGGGGGCAAAGCCTTGTGACGTCATATTTGAGGGGAGGGGGGTCTTGCTTTTTATGACGCCGTGTGACGAGGGGGGGGGGGGTTAAAAATCGCCCCAAATCGCGTGACGTCATTTATGGACGGCGCCCCTTTGGGGTAATGGCCCTTCATAACACATACACGTTCCTTGTCGCAACGTACAGCGGCTGCTTCATTGAAGCCAAGTTGGCCCACGGCTTGAATAACAAATGCGGCGTTTGTTTTAGCCGTGATGGCATTAACACAGCGGAGATACGACGCTAAACTGAAACGCCTCGACAGTTGAGTGAGTCTCTTCAACATTGTCAATGAGCTCTCCATGCCGAGTGTCCGCTCACTCTTGACCCTGCGAGGATGTTGTGTCGTTGCCACATGTTGTTGCTGCGAACGTTCGACTGGTTTCCATGACACATCGACAAACTTGCTGCTTCGCCGTGCATCGCTCACACTCTGTATAAACCAGTGACTACAGCCCTTGGTAAACACGCAGCCCTTCTATGGGACCTTCTTTTGTGCTGGTATCAAGGCGACGAATGCAGACCCCGGTGCCTTGAAATAATGTATATACAGTAGTTGGTGTCTGTTACATCTTAGCACCTCTTTTACTGCCAGAAAGGGCAAAAGCCCTTCAACGCTATCCTTCCTCTAACCTCTTCTCTACGAACGCAATGATGGCTCTTCCATTCCCGAAGCGTTCAATCAGACACGAGGGGGAAATTCATCATCATCAGAAGTTGTGATCAATCCACTGATGGATGAAGGCATTCTCCCCAAAGTCACCGCCATCTCTGACGGTTCTCCGATGACGATGGTGGTAACAATCCACCTAGCACGCTCCATCTTCTGATCGGTAGCCGTTCTCACGGTAGAGTTACTACATTCCTCCTTGGCTGGGAAATGGTCTCTGCATATTTTTCCCTTGTCCCCTGTATGTACAGTATTTTCTGAGTTGACCGCAGCTGAAAAGTTAAATGTCCCCAGTGACCTCTCATAAGTCTAAAGGCATGGACACCCCCGTATTGTTTTACGATTTTCCTGCAAGGCCCTCTTGTCTCCATGGACTCGCATTGGTTAGACCAGGAGCTATATATCCCAACATGTGTTGCACAGAGGACCGCTTCAAGGTCGGTGATGGGGAGAACGCGCACGTGGTTGTAGTGATGGATGGAGAACGTATTCTGGTTGGTGGGATAAGTGATGGTGACGATTTCTGTTTTCTTAAAGTAAAACTAAACGAATTTAATTTTGCCAGTTAAGGCCCGGTGAGCTATAACGCTCTTTTTCAGAAGCGATCTGGCCACAAATGATAGCTCAATTAAGTGGCTTATCGTGTGATGTGGAAATTTATAGCAGCCCAATACTCTAAACGCATGTTGATTCTATTGTATACATACCTGTCAACACATACGGTTTACCCGTATGCTTGTACTGGGAAAATCACTGTAGGATGAACATATTCTTGGTTCTTTCGGTAAAGTCATGTAGAAGGGAAACAACATATTTTTTTATTGTTTTATATTTTTATTATTTTATTGTTTCCCTTCTACGTGACTACCGAAAGCACCAAGAATATGAATCCCTGCAGTCACGAGCAGCTTTAAATCAAAATGTAGGATGAACGTTGAGATTTATCAGGGCACGGGGTGACCAATAATGTCTGAATTGGTCTGTTATAAGGTAGGCACTGATAAGGGGTTGATAGGTATGTGTATACTCGTTGGTTCTTTCGTTAAAGTCACGTAGGTAGAAATAACCAAAGAGTATGGATTCCTGCAGTCACGAAAGCGTCAAATCAAGGTGTGTGTGTGCGTATATGTGGAGGGTGAAAACGGGAGGACCCGGATAAAATTTCACACGACCACGGAGAGGACTGCAAACTACAAATATACAGCAGGCGTCAGGGTCGGGATCGATCCTCCGTCTTCGTGCATATCAGGCAAGTGGGTAACATCTCGCTACCGTAGCGATATTTTTGCGTATGGCAGCAATACGTTCAGGAGCGACATTCCAATGCCGAGGCCTGCTAGCCACGGGAGAGTCCGCGTAGTTTTGCCATTAGCGTTGAAGGATCGCCGACAACAGTGGCTGGTAACCATGTGATGGTCCATAGTTTGGGTTGCATAAGCACGGTCGTACTTCAGCCTATTGTTTGATTCGATTTCTGATTTCAGGAGGAGCAATTATTTTTGGAGTCTCCAATCAGGCGATTATTCTGGACATCCGCATTGTTCCACTGTTCTTCAGTATTCTTCCGGATCTGGGTGATAATTGTTCAGATTCAGGTAAAATGTAGACATTAAAAACGTTCTTCTTTAGACATTAATTGGCATGTTTAACATTATCAAGTAACAATTTACGACATCTCTCCAACGCGCTCTCACGGTGGTGCTACTGGACAGAGCACGTGGTGGTGGTGGGTGGTGTAGCTACAGGATACACAGCCCGAGCACGTGGTGCTGACGTTGTTATTGATGGATTGCCTGAGTGTTGTTGGCGGGTATTTGGTACATGCCAGAGGGCACAGCATCAGAATATTTAGACTGGAGGAATTCGATGAGCTGCAAAGCTCATTTCACAGATGTCCAGTAGTTTTTCACAAATGTCCGGTAGATAGACAGATGCCAAGTAGATTCACAGAGCACGTGATGCTGGTATTTATGGATGGCCTACGTGCTGGTGACAAGTAGTGGTACATGCCAGAGGACACAGAATCAGAATATTTATTTAGACTGGAGAAATCCGATGAGCTGTAAAGCTCTTTTTTTTACAGACGTCCAGTAGATACACAGATGCCCAGTAATTCCACAGAGCACGTGGTTCTGGTGTTGAAAGATGACCTACGTGTTGGTGATGGTGTAACTAGAGGATACAGAGCACGTGGCGCTGGAGGGGTTATTGACAAATGATCCTTATGGCGGTACCCCGGGGTACCAAACCATACAAACTGGCCGAGGTAATTAAAAACTTTATTTCTGGGACACTATTTTTTCCAGGGGTGTTACTCAACTCCTTGACTGGGGTACCAATCAATCCGAAATCAGTGCCACTCCGCGATGTCGAAACGCCAAACATTCGCATAAAAAAATCCGTTATTGAAAAATTCAACTTTGAAAAGCGCATCGTGAGTACAGCTCGTCGAGATGAGTCGATTGCCGCATCGCCGACCATCGACAGACTAAAGATGACTGGCAATCACGGACATTATGCAATGGAACCCCGGTGTACCGCCATAAGGTTCATATGGCCCAACATCACTGTGGTGGTGGAGCGAGAGGATACACAGAGCACGTGGCGCTGGTGTCGCTGCTGTTATTGACGGATGGCCTCCGTGTTGGTGGTGGTGGAGTGAGAGGAGACACAGAGCACGTGGCGCTGGTGTCGCTGCTTGGTTGGAGCTGACGCCGCTGACCACACACCCCGCGTGGGCGGCTACTCCGGCCGCAGAAGCGGGAGACGCGGAAGCCGCGGGTGGCCCCGGGGGAGGGAGGGGAGAGGCTCGTGTGGCTCCCTCCTCCTCCTCAATAAAGCGGAAGGGAGAGAGAGAGAAGACAGTACGCACACAACACGGTGCGAGCCCAGTCACAAGCCGCCTGGGTCCTCACAGCAGCAACAACATCAGCAGCAGCAACAACAGCAGCAGGGACGTGCCGGTGAGTGACCCACCCAAACAACATCGAAATTCCTTCCCCAACCCACCCCCCCCCAAAGGTGAGGGAAGCGTCTGGGTGATTGGGAGGGGAGGGAGGGAGAGGTCACCGTGTGTAGGAGGGAGGGAGGAGGATGGGAGGGGACAGAGGGAGGAGGTTAAAGATGCAGAGGGGGGGAGCGACACCTGGACACAAAGTGGCACGGGGCAGCACGAACTTTCTGAAGAGTCTCCGTGCAGCATTGCCTCCTCCTCCTCCTGCTCCTCCTGTTGGAGCGGTCATTGAGCTGCTGGGATGATTGCTTGCGTCCCGGATGATTGTTGCGTCCGGGATGATTGTTGCGTCCGTGATGATTGTTGCGTCCGTGATGATTGTTGTGTCCGGGATGATTGTTGTGTCCGGGATGATTGCTTGCGAGAGCGGAGGGAGCGGTGGAGGAGTGAATGGTCGGCGCATACAGCCCACCCACCTGAGTTGTCGGCATCAAAGTGTCGAATAATTGGACCGGTTGTTGTGGGGCCATCCACCAAGTCGACTCGGCCTTAAATGAGGACCTGGTATCGCGTGCAAACATTCGCGCTCGGGAGACAAAGGCGGCCGTGCGTGGTGGTTCGCCACACCACCTTTGTTTTGACACTGCTGTGTGCAGCAGCAAAGTTCACGCGCTGATGTTTATTGCACGAGGTGATCCAGATGTCTTGTGACCCCACCCCCATTTAATTCCCCAAAACGAAATTTTATTTGTATACCAATGATGTTGAAACAGAAATGAATAAGCAAAGGGGGGGGTGGATGCCGGAGTTAATTAATTACGGGTCACAAGACATCTGGACCACCCTGTACAACAAACACGGACATGCAGCTGCTCCTGTTTAAGAGATGGATGCATACGAGAGCTTGTGAGGACTGATCGCTTGTCTTATCGTGACACCTGAGTTTATTCCCAACAGTTCTGGTAACAGGTAGCAGGCAGCAATTTACCCACACACTCTATCTACTGCGGATAGTCAGACTTTGAGAGGCCAAGTACGGTGTGTGTTTAGGTATATCTGCATTCTGGGGATTACCTGGGTTGCCAATATAATACTGTCAACATTTGTGTAACTCAGGCACAATCTTACAAATGAGACTCATCCTGGTCTCTTGACTTCTCAGCTGGTTAAACAGAATCAACTGGAACGTGCGCTTTAAACACACGGGCTTAACTGTGCTGATATCATCAGTCAGCTATGAGCCGTGTAACTTCCCGCTTGCTACTAACTCAGTGCTGTCACAGTGCAGGACATTTGATGCAGTACACCATTACAAACAACCCAAACTATCTTACGTTGAGTCTTTTGATTCGAAGTTACAGCATATTTTACTTGATGGCACTGCGTGTTGTTGCTTACAACGAGATTGTATTCATCTTCTTTGGTTCTTTCGGTAAAGTCACGTAGAATGAGAATAAAATAATACATTGATAAAATAAAATAACACAATAATATTCTCACAAAAATATGGAACGCTTCACGAATTTGCGTGTCATCCTTGCGCAGGGGCCATGCGCAAGGATGACACGCAAATTCGTGAAGCGTTCCATATTTTTGTGAGAATATTATTGTGTTATTTTATTTTATCAATGTATTATTTTATTCTCATTCTACGTGACTTTACCGAAAGAACCAAAGAAGATGAATCCTTGCAGTCACGAAAGCTTTAAATAGAGATTGTATTCATTCTTACTTGGTTTATTTTCGGTAAGTAAGCCTATGGGGAGGACACCTTTCTTAAAACCAGAAAATCTCGACCTCACCCAAAAGAAACAAATTATCAATCATGTTGGTCGTGAAAGCCTATGCATAAAATTCAGAATGTACAATATATTAGCCAATTTGTATGGTCCCAGGCTCTTATGAATTTTCATGCCACTGAAATTTAGAGTGAAAACCTATTTTTGTTACTTCTGCAATACATCTCAAATTTTATATTTATAGAATGGAATAAGGAAGTTCTCAACTTTACCAGTTCACACGTGCATATGTACAGTGCATGGAATAGCACAATTCAAATTCGTAAAAGTGACTTTTTTCATAGAATGAAAAATTGTTACGGAATAAAATTATTTTGCAAAGTTAATTACCAAAACTGGCTTACAACTACAACTTTTGCCCTTTTGTAAGTTGTTCAGGACAGCATATGTTCAGCAACTTACGACGTTAGCTACGTGGGTTCGATCCCGACCCTGCCGCCTGTATATTTGGAGTTTACATGTTCTCCCCGTGGTCACGCGGAAATTTCTGCGAGTCCTCCGGTTTTTCCCTTCACATTTAGAAACATGTGTTAGAGTATATGGCTCAATAATTTCCACATGATGAGCCACTTCGTTGAGTTATCATTTGCGGCGAGGTTGTTTTTGAAAAAGAGCTGTATAGCTCAGTGGGCCTTACCTGGTAAAATAAAGCATAACTAGCTTTTTTGCCCATCCAAGTATGGGTGTATATTGCAGTAAGTTTAATAGCGCTGGCTGGTGGACAGTGGACAGCTGGTTGACAGCAGCGGCAACTGTGGTGGACAGACAGCACACACGCTGGTGATGGTGTGCACGGTGTGTGGGCAGAGGGGAGGAACTAGGGCAAGGGTCACGGAGGACCCCGTCTGGAGGCCTCTGGAACCTGCTAGAGGGTTCGAGAAGGGAGGCGCGGTCAGGGCGGAGCCAGGCCGCGCTGGGAGCATAAAAGGAGCCGAGAGCGGGGAGCTCGAGGCTGCCGGTTCTGGGAATGGACTCGTCTTGTCGTTGCTGTTGTGTCGTCGCAGTCGTCGCTAAACGTTTCCTATAGATATTGCGCTGCGAAGGATAGTAGTTGGCTATCTCAGTCAGCGCCGTCAGTGTTAGGCAGCTAGTGTAATGTACAGGCTAGACTGAGCTACTGTGGAGAGTGTGCGGACGAGACCGTGGAAGTTGTTAATAAAGAAAGTGCCTCCTAGAAAATCTGTCTCTGAAACGTTGACACTACACTAGTACAGCACACATCGGTGTGTTGGAGAGCAAAGCCAGAACATTTACTATCTGATTCATATTCTTTGGGTCTTTCGGTAAAGCCACGTAGATAGAAAAATAAGAAAATAAAAATATATAAAAAAATATCACGACGTTTCTATCGCAACACATGCAATCGTCATCAGGTGAAAAAAATAGCACACATGCAATCGTCATCAGGTGAAAACAAATAGCAGGAGAGCTGCTGAAGCAGGATGTTATTTCGGTTTGAGATGGGTGTAGCCCAAAGGTAAGTGGGCGGGGCTAGAGATGGAATTTGCATGTCAATGTGAGATCGGAGAGCTGCTGAAGCAGGATGTTATATAGGTTTGAGATGGGCGTAGCCCAAGGGTAAGTGGGCGGGGCTAGAGATGGGTGTAGCCCAAGAGTAAGTGGGCGTGGCTAGAGATAGAATTTGCATGTCAATGTAAGATCGGAGAGCTGCTGAAGCAGGATGTTATATAGGTTTGAGATGGGCGTAGCCCAAGGGTAAGTGGGCGGGGCTAGAGATGGAATTTGCATGTCAATGTAAGATCGGAGAGCTGCTGAAGCAGGATGTTATAAAGGTTTGAGATGGGCGTAGCCCAAAGGTAAGTGGGCGGGGCTAGAGATGGAATTTGCATGTCAATGTAAGATCGGAGAGCTGCTGAAGCAGGATGTTATGTAGGTTTGAGATGGGTGTAGCCCAAGGGTAAGTGGGTGGGGCTAGAGATGGAATTTGCATGTCAATGTGAGATCAGAGAGCTGCTGAAGCAGGATGTTATATAAGTTTGAGATGGGCGTAGCCCAAGGGTAAGTGGGCGGGGCTAGAGATGGAATTTGCATGTCAATGTAAGATCGGAGAGCTGATATACCTCCACGACTACGAAACTGTGGAGGTGGCCATTGTATTGTGAGAGATTAGCATGTCAATGTAGCAGAACCACTACAATCTGAGTACGACGTTTCGCCAGTAACTACAACTGGCTTCATCAGGCAACATCCAGATTCTTGGAGAAATCCTCTTGTTTAGTTCCTTAAATAGAGGGGTAGATATGATGACATCACCTGTGAGCTCTTCTTGCACGAAGTGGGGGGGGGGGGTTAATGAATTCATATAAGTGACTGGGTATCAATTGATATGGTAATCAACGAACATGCATTATGCAAGCCCATTATTCTTGTATCTCCAGTCGATTGTGGGCACTAAAATATCCGTACCTGTTATTGTTCGACGGCAGAATGTAACGACACATTTATATATTTACGCGATTTAACCCAAAACAAAAACCTGTATTATATGTTGATATTGGTCGCGAAAGCCTACGTATCACCAATTCCATCTCCCGGCACGATAGTTGCAACAATGGGCAAGTTTTGTATCCTGGCCACTCTGTCCACCCAGCAGTATAAATGGATGCACCACAGTCGATCCACACACAGGTCGTGCGTGTTGGTGGAAGTATGGATACTCACAGCCCTTTCCAAGATGTCTGGCCAGCATGGACATACTTTCTAGTCAAGGCCCTTATGCCAGCAATGTATGTGCGTTAAACTTATTTCACACCGCACGTAGCCCACCACGCTAATCGGAGGTGCGGGGGAAGGACAACAATGTACACACAAAAAGCAGTTCTAAAGAAATTACTTTGCAATCCATATTTAAAAAGTGCATAGCTCCAGTGGCTTCCTAATAGAAAGCAATGGTGTGAGAAACCATTTACAAGGCCGTACCTTTGCCTTTTACATACAGTAGCCCTCCAGAACTATATAATGTACAGTGGTAAAGTAATGTGGAATAACTTTGTTGGTTCCATGACCCAACACCAGTGGAACATCTTGTTTTCTACCCCCTCAAAATATTTCCCTATATGGGCGAAATGAAGCAACGAAATTATTTCATTCTTGGCGTATGAGATTAAAAGTCCCCCACGGTTGTGTAACCTTGAAAAACCACTCCAGTAATTTCCAATGCAAATCATGAACCCAGCCAATAAGTTCGACAGACTCTTATTTCCCTTTGCGAAAAAAAAGATCCTACGCAATTTTGTACATTGAAATACAGTTACATTTCAATGTCTGCATAGTATTTTTATATAATAACACAAGTATATTGTTGGTGAGATATCAAATGCCAAAAAAATTGTTGGTCACCCAGAACCCCCATTGAAGGACATCCGCAAGCACGACTGTAACATCAACGCTCTTTTGGTTCTCGGTAAAGTCACGTAGTTAGAAGTAAATTTAAATGAAACAAATGTAATTTATTTCTACCCACCACGTGACTTTACCGAAAGAACCAAAGAGTATGGATTCCTGCAGTCACGAAAGCTTCAAATCAAGATTGTAACATCAGCGTCAATGAGCGGGAAGCTCTGGCGAGAGAAAGGGGCAAGCTGGCACAACAGACTCGAGGTCGGTACACACACACACCACGGGACTCCGACGTGAGACGCTTTCGGCAGCGATGATGACCCCCCTCTTATCCACGGGCCCCCCTTATCCGTGGGGGACAGTCAGGTCCGCGAAAACTCCCTGTCATCACCCAGCCCTCTTCTTCCAATTGTCAGTCATCACCCGCAATTTTTTTTTTTTCCCGAGAGGTTACCTTGGATCGGCTTACAATTTCCTGCATCTCCAGTTCGCACGGTTGGCTACGTACGGTGCGAAATAAGGTCAACATGCATACTGTACATACAATTGCACGCGCAATATTTTTGCGGTAAAGAGGAGTTACACGGAATTGTATTTCCATTACTCGTGGGTTAGGACGGGGATGAACGTACACCTGCTGTGCTTCAAATGACAAAGACCCCTGTTGCACGAGAAATGCCTGAGCATTACCATAGCGAATGAAACATTTTTAAAATGATGCGCGCATTTTAATACAAGTATGGTCGTGTGGAAAATTAATTGATTTACCTGTCGATTGTCCATAGGTATTGAACAGCTCTTTTTCCTGCCATGCACTCTGGGCAAATACGCCATACAAAATCTAATTATCCTAATATTTTTTCGTGGATAAGAGTGGTTGAGCGGCAAGTTACTTAATTTATCCGCAATTATTTGCATTTTTTTTGGATGGATGAGTGGAATAAGTTTGCAGATAACCCTGCGGAAAATAAGATCTGTGATATTGGGCTCCCACATTACTGCGGATAAGACTTCACCCGTACGATAATTATAAAATATTCATCGATTAAATTTGATTGGATGCCCCTATAGTCCCCGTAGTACAGACCCAAGAGCTGGTCCGAAGGGCAGCTGGAAGGTGATTTATACATTATACAGTGCTATATAGAGCGTGGTGTTTCCTGCATTGCTGCGAATGTAAACACGAGCCCTTGTGATCCCATCGCACAGGACGGCTACTTACTCCGCAAGAGTGAATACTCCTATTAGGGATGAATTGTGGACTTAAAACTTTGGATTTTTCAACTTTCAAAGACGATGTTGGATCGTTTTTAAAAAAATTTATCATTCCATTGTATTCCCCATTTGAAATGTATTTGTGCTAACAAAAGTGATGTCACCCAAAAGCCACATGACACTACTTTTGGGTGGAAAAAAATGTAGAAGTGACATCCATATGAGTACTGCCATTTCCGGTTTCAGATCATTCCGAAACAAAAACAATTCTCATATTGACTGAAATTTTGTATCGAGGTATTATTTCGGATGAATCCAATTGTTTGTTTTAAATAAAAAGCTGCTTACGTGGAATTACATTGGCAGAAGAGCCGGGCTATCCAATTACAGTATTTAAGTAGTACACTACTCTACTGGTTATTTTTTTTAATTCCTCAACAAATTGGATAATGCGGAAATACATTTTTATTTAAAGCTTTCGTGACTGCAGGGATTCATATTCTTGGTTCTTTCGGTAAAGTCACGTAGAAGGGAAACAATAAAATAATAAAAATATAAAACAATACAATTCTCACGACGTTTCGACTGCAACATGATGATGATTGCTTGTGTTGATGATTGCTTGTGTTGATGATGATTGCTTGTGTTGATGATTGCTTGTGTTGCAGTCGAAACGTCGTCGTGAGAATTTTATTGTTTTATATTTTTATTATTTTATTGTTTCCCTTCTACGTGACTTTACCGAAAGAACCAAGATTATATAATGCGGAAATAGTTGGGAAAAAAAAACCTCTCCTCTGTTTCCACGTGTGACACTGGATGGAAGGAAGGTGATGAGCGGGAGCCGGGCAATGGCTTCGCTGTCACCAGCCAAGCAAGTCACCCTGGGCGGCAGCTTGTTGGTGGCTTCTCGTCTTTGGGAGGCAGGATGTGAGGGCAGCCAGTAATTAACCACAAAATTATAGTCGACTAAACATCAATGTCAATTGACTTACTCGACTAATTGCCCCAGCTCTAGTTGGCAGTGGTGTTAAATCTGCTGTTACATTATTACAGAACAGTGTTCTCATTGGCCTTTCCAAATACAGCCCTGGATTAAAATGCAGTGTGGTATGATGATATTTTTGGAAAGGAGCGTTGCCCAAAATGTGTTTATTATTTGCGGTAGAGTACGGTGTTTCTCGACATGGCAGTGTTTGTGACAACGATGGTTGGCGTATAGTATTAATACGGTGAGTTAATCGGTAACAATGCACGCTATAAATTTTGATTTAAAGCTTTCGTGACTGCAGGGATTCATATTCTTGGTTCTTTCGGTAAAGTCACGTAGAAGGGAAACAAAATAATAAAAAATATAAAACAATAAAATTCTCACGACGTTTCGACTACGTGACTTTACTGAAAGAACCAAGAATATAAATGCACGCTATGTTTGAGCAACACACATTGCCCTTGGGTGTTTGCAAACGGTGAAAAACTTGAGCAAGTTGACACTCGCATGTTGCATGCAATGTTGGTTCAATAACCACATGGCATCAAACTAAATGATCGTGGAAAAATTAATTTTAAACGTATCATTGGAAAGTGCATTTTTTTTTTTACAATAGCGTAACATTATTTGCCGACAATTTTTTTTTTCAATAAAGCATAGAGCCTCTACATTCTTAGTGGCACATCCATAATAAGCCTCAGCACCGTAGTCCAGAAACGTGTTTATCATCCATTTAAGAACACCCACAAGACGAACTATCACAATAAGACAGAGCTGGACATTATTATTGTGGATTCTTTGTATGAGACGTTGAGAGATGTTGAAAAATTAAAGTGCACTTGGCGTGCACCTCCAATGTGTGCGTGTGCCAGGAATGTGTCCTGTTCGTGTTCTACAAAAAATATTTTTAATAATATACTGTACATCATGAGGAAAACATGGTAATGGAATAAGTTACTTTCATAAATCCTTCATAAATGCTACATTAATTTAACAAGTGAGCCCATCGGTGGTTTCATTTTGTTTCAGACAATTAACCCGTGCCCTCTGTTGTTTCCCCACAGAAATGCCGTACCGCGATCGCGAGGGAAACGTGTGTGGGTTTTTGGACCTTGAGGAGACGGAGGGCAGCAGCAGGTTCCTGCGTCGATTTTTCCAGTTGGACGTTACCACCAACACACTGAGATGGTACATGGACAACCCACAGGTGGGCAGTTCCACGCATTAAGCCATCTCGTGGTTCAAGATAAAAAAAAAACATCCTCATAATGCATTTAGAAGTGTCATTTCGAAAGTAATTATCTACTAATCTCTACGGAAATAAAGCCGATGGTTTTACACATTAAACCGAATGCAGGATCGCTGTCCCAGTGTGGCTGCAAGTGTTCATTTGAGTAACCGCCAATGTCGTGGTACCGTATATGGTATTGTATTAACATTTCTAACTTGTAACGGATGGCGCAGCATTTATAGAGTCGCCTCTGCATGAGTCTGGAATGCTCTGCCAGGCTGACCTTCGATCAATTCGGTGTCACGAAACGTCCAAGAAACATTGACGAAAAACATTGTTACGCGTGGGCCAGGCTACACGAAACAATGCCCCTTCACAGTTGAGCATCTCCACAGGCCTCGGCCTCGTGACATGGCGCTGGACAAATAAATGTGCTCATTATTATCAAGGGAGGCGGACAGATGATTATTTATGTCTAAATTACAGTCCCAAATGGTTGGCGTACTATGCCCGAATGAAATAAAAAGCACTTTATGATTAGACTCATGATTGGTCACATCTTTAAAGTGTCTGAAATGAACGTCCAAAACCTTAAAACTACCAAGGTCTGACACGAAGACTGCATACTGTACTATTTCCTCCACAATATCATGCAAAACAGCATATGTGCATATTCAAAATAAGTACATTATTTATTATTTCACATCTCCTCAGCATTGTGCATTATCCGGAAGGCAGACATTTACGTATGTCTGTTTATAAGTCCCACATGGCTCAGAAATAAATCGTTTCCTGGGCAGCTAGCCAATACATTGCAAGTTTATATTTAGACTTCATATACATACACATATTATTAACCGAAATGATAAATACTGTCATACAAACTTACATTTTTATACATTCTCTTCCAAGGCCATGTTCACCGATGCTTTGAGACTCACCAGTCAGTTTGAAAGTGGTTCGAGTAGCCACACTTTAAAATAAAACAAAAATATTCCATCCATTCTCAATCTGCCAATTGATGAAGGCCTCCCCATGTCGTGTCCGCCATGATTTTCAAAAAAATATATATTTTTTACCATACTTCATGCTGGTCAGTACGGGTTGGCAATAGTGTGGGAGGGCAGGACAAGTTCTAATATTACTCGCCGCTGGGTGAAAAGAAACTCGGTCTATATGCAATTTTGTTTCCTGAAATTAATTGCCCCCTCCAAAATTTATCTGGGTGCACCACTGATGCCATCCTGTGTTTACAATTCATGGTCCCTTGAGGTTATCCGCGGGTGGCTGCTGAGCCTCATTGTCAGCACCCTCACTGCTGTCGGTTTCAGGCAGCGGGTAGATTCCCAGAGCAACATGGTAAAGTTCACGGGAAATTCACAAAGGACATTGTCCATTATTTTTGATGGGTGTTGGAGACTGTGACATTAGTCGCAAGTGCAATTCATTGCATGTTGCAAATAAACAGACTGGTCACTATTATACCGCTCTCACTCGCAAAAATAGAATGATTCCCAGTCGATGCTCACCTGGTTAAATAACATGCATAAGCAACAATAATGTATTGTCATGACTGTCATGAGGGCATATAATAGCAGAGCATGTGCGAGAGTGTGACCCTACTGTGTGAAGGAAGAGCGGTAGTGTAGCGGTTAGCGCGCTGCACTACGAACCTGGCGATTTCCTCTCACGGCCAACATCAGTGACGATTATCTGAACCGGTCCTGGGCCTCCCCTAGGTCGATTCAGCCTCAAATGAGTACCTGGTGCGGTGCGTAAAAATATCGCCACGAGGGAGGCAAAGGCGGCTGGGCGTGGTGCTGGCCACCCACCCCCTTGTGTGCCATTCTGGCTTTCATAGGTGCTCGCTAACAGCACAGTCTGTTAAGGCTATACGGGGAATCTTTGTTGTAAAGCATTAAATGGCGCACATTACAAATTCTTTCTGGAGAAGTCATGCTTAAAACAATCTCATCTGTGAGCAATCCTCTCCTACAGAGGACATTTGGTGTTCCAGATTTCCAAGTGTAATCTTTGTCTCATTGGCAAGACACCACAAGTCCATTGGGGCAAAAAGACCAACCATTAAAAATGACGTGTGCCCTGTATCGCTCAGATGCAGTACACGTTCTACGTAATTTATTATTCTCTCTGCACTGTAACAAATCGGCTTTCTTAATGGCCAAGGTCAGTAATGGTCAGTCATTATACACCGGCACATTAAGGGCATTATTAATGCATGTGTCTTCAAGCCACCCAAGCTGAGATTGACACGAGCACTAGAACAATTTTGCAATCATGACATGAGAGACTGCTGGTGATGCAACCACATATTGACCCATTTTCACTTTGGTATCGTAATTTTGGTGTAGATTATAAATGTATGCTTGCAGTGCTTATATATTTTTTCCGATTTTCTCTCCCATCAGTTTTATTCAAGATAATGTATTGTAATAAAAAAAATAAATCTATGACCAAATCATCCTAGATGCACCAAATCTAGTTAGATCTCAGAATATAACCGTGGCTGAGCCGTGCTAGTACTGGCATGGGCGACCACCAGGACTTGTCAATTGTTGTGAGGTGAGGTGCTCAGGAGATGCTGATGTTGCAGAGTACCCTCTCGTATCTGTGGGCCTTCTCCGGGTACTCTTGTTTTCCTCCTACATGCCAAACACATCGTGAATGGCATTGGCCAAACATCCCAATGCAGGACCATCCTGAAAGAGGCGTGATGCTCAGTGAGGCTTTCCTGGGTAAATAATTTGCTTTAGTATGATAACAATGTTCTTTCCTTTTTCTACTGAATATTAATATTATTCGTGGAAATTCAAAAGTGAAGCACAAATATTGAAATGTATAGAAGAAGGTGAGTTTGCACTTGAACTCTGTCGTTGTCTCACTGTTTAATTATGCTGTACGTGTCAACGTGAATTCGTTTGATCTGTGTGTAAAATCTGCGTAAATGTGTATTTGTGTGTTTCTTTACTGCAGAATCTTCCAGATGGCACTGGTCCACTGGGGAACCTTAGCCTCACTTATATCTCTATGGTGAGAATATCACTACATAATAGTAATAAATTAAACATGTTTTCAGTAAACTGCATTTAAAAAATCTAAGCCTTTTGGTAACCTTATGTCCATATTTTCGTGCGTGTGTAAGTTACCTGTTTTGTGAATAATCCTGCTTCAGTATTTAAAGGGTCGTTTGTTAAATGTTAACTCATTACACATTCACTGTACTCGTTTGAACAGAGCGGTATTAGTGCATCACTGATGGCAACGTGCGACAGTGTGCTAACGATCTCACGGGTACAGGTTTCAGATGCTTGCAAACTCAGGCCAAAGGTGGAGAACTGTTTCGGTAAGTGTTATAAAGTGGAAGTTCATATCCTCGGAAATTACAGTTTGACACCAACACTAAAATGTACTGTCATTCACACCACGCAGCTGAACTTACGTGCAACGGGTTTGTATTCTCAGTTCAGTGGACTCCTGGACTTGTAATCTTCCCAGTAGTTTGCGCGCTAACATGTTCGATATTGCAGCTAGATAAGTATTCTAGATACGAGAGCTTTTCTAAGGGAACGCAATTAAAGGTTAAGGTGCAACCCTGACAATTGCTTGCTCACGCCACTGCGTCCATTCGAGGGAGATTTAGAGAACCCCTCTAAATGGTAATTGGCCTACTCTTTCACACTGGTAGGGCCCCTTGTAAGAGGTGGGAGTACTGATATCCGTCTTGCCGAACAATAACCTGTTGTACCCATTTAGAGTGCCGAATGAACTCAGTGCACCACCAGAAAAAAAAAAAACACCAAAAACCATCGGTCATATAAGCACTTTTTTTATGAAGGCTTCTTATGACTCACGTTTACAAAATTAAAACGATGGAAATGTGCAACGCTGTGTTTATGATTTTGATTTATTAGACCTGATTAATATTTGCCACTCTTGGCAATCAAAATAACAAGTAGAGCCATTTTTTTCGAATTCGGTTAAAGAAACTCAAAAGCACTGCGTGGTGAATACGAGACGGTGGTGGTCCTTAATAAATAACGGTCACAAAACAGCTCTTAAAGAGCCACCGCATGCGGAACCAGAGTCGCAGGTTGCAGACCCCTTACGAAGACAAAATATTGAAACTAAACCAAGGCTTTAAGTGTGGCTGGCTACCCATCCGCATCGTAAAACCACAGTTTACTCTGTAGGTAAATATACCAGCTGGTGAGTAATATGATGAATTTGTGCTGGCAAGTGCATACCATGACCATTGTGCAACTGATTCTGTTTGCCAGTGATAACCGCCATCAAGAGGAAGTTCTTTCTGCAGGCAAATGATGACCGAGACCTGGAGGAGTGGGTCTCTGAGCTAAACAACCTTTGCAAGATCACGGTGAACATATTTGCTATTTTATATTTAAACATCTTGTTCTTTAGTGACACTTAAAAATGTGCAAACATGTTTTTTTTGGTTGAACAGCTGGTGTTCTTTGCTGAGGTAGTAGATCTCAGAGGCTTGTTTGGATAAAACTTGCACCAAAAAAATGCGCTCTTTCCATAAGGAACACTTTGTCTCTCGTCGAGACAAATTTACCACTGTTCTAAAATAATACATCAAACGGGGTGAATTGGCGTTACAGTGGTTAGCGCTCTGCGTTGTGAACCCAGCGACCCAAGATTCCCGGCCACAGCTGACATCAGCGGTGAGTGATATCACAACTGATGCTCCCCTTCCCCTCTCCAGCAATCCTCATTGACAAGCCTGGTGAAGTATAGTCTAAAACTTCCGTGATCAACGTGGCATAGGGAGGCCTTCATCCATTGGTGGATTGAGAATGGCTGGAATTTATTATTATGATGACTACTACTGTAATTGCGTGGCCCATTTCAATTTGCTTCCCAATCAAAGGTGCGGGAAATGTATTGCTTAAAAAAAAACTCCTCCACGGAAACTGTATTTGCGTTCCCGAAACGGTAGCCATAATGTGCATGTGTACGCGCACAGCCCTCTTATCAACACATTGCTGGATGAGGGGCTCCCCAAACGCTGTGCGGGTCATGGGGGTTATTTGAACATGCTTTGCCTTGCTAGCCAGTGCGGGTTGGTGAAGGAGGAGCTCATGCACGTGGAAGCACAGTACAACATTGGATTTGTCTGCACTGTCCTCTGCTGCCCACCACATAGCACCATGATATCTGTGATGGGTACTGCAATTTAATACAGAATATGCTTTTATGTTCATTCTATAATAATAATCCAACTGACCTTTAAAATGTAGCGTAATTTAAGATATTTTATGTATTAGCAAGTATTATACCGGGTAATATATTTAAGATGACGACATTATTTGGCCATCTTCTTTGGTTCTTTCGGTAAAGTCACGTAGAATGAGAATAAAATAATAAATTGATGAAATAAAATAAATATTTGGCCATTGAAAGCTCGATCAGGCCACGCGATATGACGAATCAGAGTAAACGCTGCTTAGCGTTTGGTTCCACAAGAAGAAGAAGACGATTGTTGGGCCACTGATATCTTTATAACGGTGGACATGGGGCACCTCACTGGGCATTAATAAAGCAAGCAAGGAAGGAAGACATCAAGCTAGAATTAGATGCAGATGGAAGGACCGTTTCAATGTGCACTTGTAAACTCATAACTTTTTATGGGAAGAGGAATCGTAAAATACGAGTTGTTGTCACGTGTTACAGTGCATACGACTGTCTACAGTGTTCTGTTTAAGTGTTTGATCTCTCCTAAACATCACTATCTTCTAATATGAGAAAAGTAAAAAACACATTGCGCACTGATGATGATGATAGAGTGATGCCTGTGATGACAACAGCCGTTTTAATAAATAGTGTAAGCTTGAGTCATTTTGTGTACGGGGAAAAGTAGGACTTCATGGGAATTCTCGGCTTTTTTTCATTGGGTACAGCAATTCTCTTGGGTGCAGTGGAACACATAGCCTAAAAAAAAATTGTTGTGGGAAATTCCATAATCACATTACGCATTATGGGCGGCTGATTTGGCTATTACATGGCTAACAGTAGTCCACTGTTAAAAAGTGTCATGGGATTTGTAAGTTTCTCAAGTGAATAGCACAGCTGGCTTCATAGCTCCCTGCTAAAGACTACAGTATTATCATTTAGCCACGCACAGCAACAACGGCCATTACATTGGAAATATTTTAAATTCAGACAGAAATTCTACAGAATGTACGCTACTTTCTTGCTCCTCTATTTAAATAAACTACTCGGTTCGGTATTGCAAATAATAATACATTTTATTTGTGAGCGCTTTTCTAAATACTCAAAGACACTTTACATAAAATCATAAAAGCAGCAAAAACAACATCAAATGGTAAAAACACTAAAAACACATCAAACTTCGCTAAACATTAAAAGCAATTTTTAAAAGGTGAGTTTTAGTCAATGATTTGAACGCTGGAAGGTCGGTGCAGTCACGGATTTGTTTTGGGAGAGAGTCCCAAAGTGAGGGGGCAGCTATAGAGAAGGCTCTGTCGCCCCAGGTTCGATGCTTGGTCCTGAGAGGTGGAGTCAGGAGGTTGGCGTCAGATGAGCGAAGGCTACGGGATGGGTTGTGGCGGTGGAGCAGGTCAGTGAGGTAGGAAGGGGCCTGGTTACGAAGGGCTTTATGTGTGAGAAGGAGGAGGATTTTGAATTGAATTCGTTGTGGGACCGGGAGCCAATAGAGGTTCTGGAGGACAGGGGTAATGTGGTCACCGGTGCGGGTGTGAGTGAGCAGACGAGCAGCAGAGTTCTGGATGTACAGGAGTTTATTTAATGTTTTGGTTGAGGTGCCGTATAGGATGCTGTTGCAGTAATCGATTCTGGAGGTGATGAAGGCGTGGATGAGGGTTTCTGCAGCGGAGAAAGAGAGTGATGGGCGAAGTCTGGAGATGTTTTTGAGGTGAAAAAAGGCAGTTCTGGTGATTTGTTTTATGTGGTGTTCAAAGGAGAGGTTAGTGTCAAAATGACTCCAAGGTTGCGACTTTGAAGGGATGGAGACAGGGTGTAGGTGTCGACAGTGACGGAGAAACTGCGAATGGATTTAGTGATAGATTTGGGACCGATGATGATCATATCTGTTTTGTCGCAGTTAAGTTTAAGGAAATTGGTGTGCATCCACGATTTAATGTCAGCGAGGCAGTTAGAGAGAGTGGAGTGGGTGGCGGAGGTGATGGATTTGGTGGAGATGTAGAGCTGGACATCATCGGCATAGCAGTGAAAGTTAAGACCATGGTGGCGAATGACATTGCCAAGGGGAAGCAGGTATAGTATGAAGAGCAAAGAACCAAGCACCGAGCCCTGGGGGACACCTTGGGACAACGGAGCGGTGGAGGTGCAGTTGTTGATGTGGATGAACTGTTGTCTGTCGGTGAGATAAGATTGGAGCCAGGAGATGGCGGTGCCAGTGATGTTGAGGGTAAATTTGAGGCGAGAGAGAAGAATGGTGTGGTTGATAGTGTCAAAAGCTGAAGTGAGATCCAGGAGGATGAGTATGCTGAGGTGACCAGAGTCTGCGGAGAGGAGGATGTCGTTGGTAACTCTTAGGAGGGCTGTCTCAGTGCTGTGTTGTGAACGGAAGTCGGATTGAAATGGTTCGAACAGGTCATTTGAGGAGAGGTGGGTTTTGAGTTATTTGGCGACAGTGCATTCCAGTATCTTAGACAGAAAGGTGAGATTGGAAATGGGCCGAAAGTTTGACATAATGTTGGAGTCAAGTCCAGGTTTTTTGAGAATGGGGGTGACAGCAGCCAGTTTGAGTGAACGTGGGATTGAGCCAGAGCTGAGAGAGGAGTTAATGATTTTTGTGATGAGTGTGGAGATAGCTGGTAAACAGTCTTTGATGAGGTGGGATGGGATGGGGTCCAGGACACGTGTTGATGTTTTCATCCCTGTCAAGATTTTAGACAGCTCCCCCGGCGACACTGGGGAGAACTGAGACAGTGGCTGAGAGGTGTAGGGGGGGGGGGACAAATGATGGAATGACAGAGCAGACAGTGGTAGCAGAAGAGGACAGGTTGGTGTAAATGGTGTCAATTTTGGTCTGAAAGAATGATAGAAAGGTGTTGCATTTATCAGTTGTGAATGAATTGACGATATTGTCACTGGGTTTGAGAAGCTTATTTACTGTGTAGAAAATAGCCTTTGGGTTGGTAGAACCAGAATGTATGAGGTGTGAGTAGTAGGTGGACCGGGTAGTGTTAAGAGCTTCCTTATACTGCTGAAGGTAATCTGTGTAAGCTTGTAGATGAACAGTTAAACCAGTTTTCTTATGGAGCCTTTCAAGCTGACGCTTACGGGATTTCATTTTGTGCAGAATAGGAGTGTACCAGGGAGCAGAGTGAGTGAATGAGACAGTTTTAGTTTTGATGGGAGCCAGATGATCGAGACTGGTGGAAAGTGTTTCATTGTAGTAGTTGGTGAGGTCGGCAGGGTTGTCAGTCACGGGTTGGGGGAAGGAGGATATTTTGCTGGCAAGAGAGGCTGAAAGGGCAGGACTAGAGATGGATTTAAGATTTCTGAAAGAAATTGTTCTTTTGTCCTTGGTTGTAGAAATGGGGAGATCAATGGTCATGGTGATTGCCAGGTGGTCCGAGATGTTGAGGTTGTGGGGCTCGAGGAGTGGTACGGTGAGACCAGTAGAGCAGACCAGATCCAAAATGTGACCACGGCTGTGGGTTGGAAAGTTGACATGTTGGGTGAAATTGAAGCAGTGTAGCAGTTCCAGGAATTCAGTAGTAAATTTACAGTCAGTGTCAATGTGGATGTTGAAATCTCCCAGGAGCAGAACAGAAGGTGAGATGGCAGATAACTGAGTTAAAAAGTCAGAAAAGTCAAGAGAGAAAGGAAGGATTTGGTTTGGGGGGTTGGTAGATTATGGCAGTGACCAGAGGAGTGGGACCAGAGAGTTTGAAAGTGATGCGTTCAAAGGACTGAACAGCAGGGATGGAGATGGTGGATGTTTTAATGTCCTTTCTGTACACTGCAGCGACACCACCTCCCCGCCCCTCAGATCGGGGTTTGTCCATGTATGTATACCCTGTAGGTGTAGTCTGGTTGAGTGCGAAATAGTCCATAGGTTCATGCCAAGTTTCAGTGATACAGAGAAAATCCAGGTTATTGTCAGTAATTAATTGATTTAAAATGAGGCTTTTATTGTTTAGTGAGCGGGTGTTGAGCAAAGCCAGTTTCAGGTGACTTTGCTTCGTGGTGAATTGAGAGGACCGAGGGATGGGGCGGAGATTGGTTAGGTGCACGTGTCGTATGTTGTGATGACGTATTGAGGAAGTTGTGGGGCGCAAACAGGACCAGATGGATGGAATGGTGTTTGGGGTTGAGTAGTTGTAATTGAACATACGACCAGAGCCTCTGTGAAGCGGACGGCGAATTAGTCCAGTTTCTCGGTGAATGTCAATGCAGTCCAAATGAAGGTGGTTGTTGATTGAGTGGAAGTCGGTGGTGGAGTGGAGTGGTGGCATTATCCAGGTGTGGAGCTAGCACTAGCTTGTACCCAGATGCCCGGTGTCTTGCAAATGGGAGGGCGTCCATGGCTCCCAGGCTCCGCTCCGGCTTCTCGACGGTGGCGCTGCGACCGCTGTGTGACGGGAGCCGTGGGAGCAGCTCAGGTAGACCCAGGGAGCAGCAGCTCAGGTAGACACAGGGAGCAGCAGCTCAGGTAGACACAGGGAGCAGCAGCTCAGGTAGACCCAGGGAGTAGCAGCTCAGGCAGACCCAGGGAGCAGCAGCTCAGGTAGACCCAGGGAGCAGCAGCTCAGGTAGACCCAGGGAGCAGCAGCTCAGGTAGACCCAGGGAGCAGCAGCTCAGGTAGACCCGGGGAGCAGCAGCTCAGGCAGACCCGGGGAGCAGCAGCTCAGGTAGACCCAGGGAGCAGCAGCTCAGACAGATACAGGGAGCAGCAGCTCAGGTAGACCCGGGGAGCAGCAGCTCAGGCAGACCCGGGGAGCAGCAGCTCAGGTAGACCCGGGGAGCAGCAGCTCAGACAGATACAGGGAGCAGCAGCTCAGGCAGACCCGGGGAGCAGCAGCTTAGGTAGACCCGGGGAGCAGCAGCTCAGGTAGACCCAGGGAGCAGCAGCTCAGGTAGACCCGGGGAGCAGCAGCTCAGGTAGACCCAGGGAGTAACAGCTCAGGTAGACCCAGGGAGCAGCAGCTCAGGTAGACCCAGGGAGCAGCAGCTCAGGTAGACCCAGGGAGTAACAGCTCAGGTAGACCCGGGGAGCAGCAGCTCAGGCAGACCCAGGGAGTAACAGCTCAGGTAGACCCAGGGAGCAGCAGCTCAGGTAGACCCAGGGAGTAGCAGTTCAGGTAGACCCAGGGAGTAACAGCTCAGGTAGACCCAGGGAGTAACAGCTCAGGTAGACCCAGGGAGCAGCAGCTCAGGTAGACCCAGGGAGTAACAGCTCAGGTAGACCCAGGGAGCAGCAGCTCAGGTAGACCCGGGGAGCAGCAGCTCAGGTAGACCCAGGGAGCAGCAGCTCAGGTAGACCCAGGGAGCAGCAGCTCAGGTAGACACAGGGAGCAGCAGCTCAGGTAGACTCAGGGAGCAGCAGCTCAGACAGATACAGGGAGCAGCAGCTCAGGTAGACACAGGGAGCAGCAGCTCAGGCAGACCCAGGGAGCAGCAGCTCAGACAGATACAGGGAGCAGCAGCTCAGGTAGACCCGGGGAGCAGCAGCTCAGGTAGACCCAGGGAGTAGCAGCTCAGGTAGACCCAGGGAGCAGCAGCTCAGGCAGACCCGGGGAGCATTGTGCAGCGACGTCATACCACCTGTAAAATAGACCGCTCATCCATACCTCTTGTCTGCAGGTCTCGTCCTTGTCTTGTTTATCTCACTTTCATCGCGGTAATTTTATTTCTCGTCTTGCTAGCAGATGCAGATGTGGTGACCGATACATGACAAAGTGTGCTTCTGGGCACTTCATGATCATAACATAGTGGCCTCAGACCGTCTTATCCAGACTAGCTTCAGCAGCAGGCTGTAACACCTTGATATCTTCCTCACGGCTTCACACCACCCCTGAGGACAGTAGTCCAAATAAGCAAGTTTCAGGCCAGAATGTTCTGCTTCTGTAGCATCCGGAAAGCACACTTTGTCATATCTTTTGGCTCACCAACCCGTGTATCGTAATGTCCGAGCCGAGTCGTGTCGCTCAGCGGGCAATAATTCTGCGTGCCACTCCCAAAAGCCTTTGTGGTCTGCGGGCCGCTCTTTGAAGAATCCAGCACAATGGTTAGGCTGGCTACGTATCTTGGTATTCCCAGGAATATTGTCCTCTTTTTGATGACGCTGTTCCTGGGAATTTTGCAAGCCTTCCTGGAACATTAAACTTCTGTGTTTTTTTCTTCTTATTTCGGTTGTGCAGTAATGCACCACTCAAGGCAATGCATGTATATGTCGTCCGCCCCTCTTCCAATATTGTGAGGTATTATTGTGCACACGATATGTCCCGATTTTCTTTTGGACCTCAGAGGTGATGACAGTGTGCACAGTGCCGATCTTCACCAGACGTGGGAATAGCTTGTTACACTTGTGCCCTGTAGGTGCCTAGACAGTGCTCATCCCAGCTGGACAGCATCGCGGGCCGTCTGGAGGAAAAGGGTGGCTTCCATCCGCACCACGGAGCCAAGAAAACCGGGCCCTACAAGACCGAGGTGATTGGAGGTGTGGTCATCAAATCACAACTCAGCCAGGTACTGCTGTCACACAGGGCATGGTTGCACATTTCATATCTCAAGTGTACAGTCATTCATTCAGAGTATCGTTTTTCCATGAAGCACTGTATGCGTTGCCTCATGTTTTCATTGCATTGTTGCATAAGCTGTCACACACTTTTAAACTTTAAGATTCAATTCCGTACTGCTGTTACGTCAGCAGTCTCGTTCATCGGCAATCTTCCCCTCTCGGGATGTGTCCTGGCCAAGCCGACTTCTCTTCAAAGTCTATTTGATGTTTCGAAATTACATTTGCTCTCTGATCCATTCATTCCCTTTTCTGTTTCTCGGTGGAATTTCCAGCCGAAGCTACTTTGCACAATTTTCACGTTTTTAGTAAAAAATATATATTTGTCGTTGTCCATGACTATGATCCATGTATCGGGGCAGGTAATATGCGCTCATCTGAAACCTCTTTTTGCTTTAGGTACAATGATAAGTTGCTATTCATGAGCCAATTAGATTTTACAAAAAGTGCTCCAAGCCGCTGTGTGTTAATTTCCTCATTTGGATCCACCTTCAGCAATGTCCCAAAGATGCACAAACGTCCCTTGTTGGCGATCCAGTTGTATCCCTACAACAATAATTTTCTTTTTATTCAACCTTCATGTCGTGCATGACTTTAGCACCGCACATTTATCTTTGGTCCAACCATGTAGCCTGTTAAATTCTTCAATCTCCTCCAATGTCTCACAATTTTACAAGCTCACACAAACCAAGGGCACCTATAATACATATAAATGGAAATACGAAGCAAGAGTAGGCTTTTCACAGTCACATTTAAAGTTATATTCTTGGTTCTTTCGGTAAAGTCACGTAGAAGGGAAACAATGAAATAATACAAATATAAAACAGTAAAATTCTCGCGACGTTTCGACTGCAACACAAGCAATCATCATCAGGTGTGAAAACCACAGCAAGAAAATTTGAAAAAAGTGGCGTTTTTTTAACGTTAGCACCACATTTAAAGTTGTTCATCAAAAATTGTATGCGAAAAATAAAGGCATACACATGAGTGGGGAAAAAATGTGTTCATATCTCAAACCTAAATAGCTTATTGCAGCACTCTACTGTATATTTATAAACTGGTGTAAATGCATAAATGACATCTTGAGAATATTACCAACATATTGTATAACTTCCTGTCCAGACGAAGGTACAAGGTTCTACTTTAAAACATGACCATGAATGAAAAATTGGCACAGAAACAGAGAACATGCAACTATTTTCGCAATCAGTCTTACTCGAGGCGGTCTTCTTACACTCCACACACACACACGTGCACATATACTATAAATACAAACACATGTAAAAGTATCTATGAAACACGAATTGAAAAAAACCGTACAGACAACAGGCCAGCTGTTTCTCTGTTGATGAGTCGAGAGGTGTTTTTCATTACACTTGTGTGTTTGTAGGAGGATGAGTCACAGGAATCCACAGACCGCGGTCACGGAAGGAGGAACCGTAACTCAGCCTCCTCCCTCCCGGCCATAAAGTCGGGATTCTGTGTCAAGCTAGGAGCAGTGGTATTAAGCAACACACACACACCTGCTAAGGCCGTACAAGAAAAACAATTCTGTTTCAAGGTCAAAGCTTGTTTTTTTTTGTTTGCACACCAGTTACCGGGTGTGTCTTACTGTTGCAACAATAATAAACAGTTGTTTTCAAGCATCTGATTGTAATTCATTTTGGCAAGAGGGATGAAATCGGTCAGGTGCCACGTGTTATTATTTTTCGACTCTCCACTTGCATTGAATGTATTATTTTCTAACGGCTGTGTTGTTGGGTTGTGTGCACCGCATGTGTGCTTTATTCATGGCCAAACATAACACGTGCATTGGGTGTGTTTCGACGCATGGAGCGTGCGTGCTGTGAAACTTGTTCTTTCGAATGTATTCGTGCTAGGGAATGTATATTCGAGAATATTTAATGTCATATTTTTAATTGCTGTGTTTAAGACCGTCCTTGTTTTTTTTTTTAACAAAAACCCTCCGTGATCCTATGAGCATGGATATGTATGTGATGAAATTTCATCTATGACCATACCACCAAATAACTCTAAATGCACCCAATCCCATCATATCTCAGCAGATAAGCAGGTTCAAGCCTTGATAGTGATTGGATGGGTGACTATGATACATCAAACACGTGTTTTAGGCTGCACTGTTTCGTTGTGGGCGGTGCATCAAAACACATTGTTGTCATGCAATTATATGTTCCGGGGTCTGACACTCTCCACGTTCATCAACCTGCACTGAACATTGTGGCACAGTGTGGTCAAATAGCCCTCCCATGAACCACACGGCATGGAAATGCCATCATCCAGCAGTGAATTGACAAAAAGGATCTTACATGTACTAGACCATTCCTGAAAGATTATGTTGATTCATTGCAGTGCGTGTTTTTGTTTTGCTTATAAATTGTCGAGTCACATTTGAAGCGCTTTCAGTTATGAGCACTGGTTAAGATTGGCTATAAATATAGCGAGCACACAAGGTCAGACACTATACTTGTGTTACTGCAGTGCTGATTCCCGCCGATTCACTCTTACGTGGGGCTCTCATTCGCAGATGAAGACCTGGAGGAGAAGGTTCTTTGTTCTCAGTGAGCATTCGCTGAGTTACTACAAATCTGAGCAGGTGTGTTTTGGCATTCTTGCTCAAGATCAAAGTAAATTCACCCAAATCTTGTCCGATCACGGAGGACAAGCAGTGTTGAGTCTGGTTGGTACTCAGATTGGAGCCAGCCTGGGCAGTGAGGTGGCCCAGGAGATGGCCATATGGCAATTTGCATGCATCTGTGTGGCGTTTTCAGTGTGGCTACATCTGCATGGGTTTCCTCTGGGTATTACAGTTTCCAAACATACCATTGCAATACTTTTGTGGAAAGGGGGGTCTTGAGACCGCTGACATAAAGGGAATCATTATTATTATTATTGCACATCAGGGAATCTACCCACTGGAATTGTAACAGATTTTAGAAAGAAATCAAAACTCAAGAGGTTCCATATTTACCACTTAAGCCTAGCAGTATGGCCTATACAGTTTCAGCAAATGCAGTGCAACGTTCTGATAATTTAAATGTAATAAAAATAAACTGTTATGTGGGTTATTATTCCACGAACGTGCCTTTTACTTCCTTTCAAAATGTCAACGCTGTTACCTGCAGCCAACTTTATGACCTTTATCTCGCGTGTAATAAACATAATGGGTCACGTTCAATGCTCACTTCCCTGAGGTGAAACAAAAAAATATATAATAAAGTTTTATAAGCTACTTCAATTAGATATTCTGACACTTGGAAAGTACACTATGTATCCCCAAGACACGTTAACTTTAACCATATGTGAATGATTTTGACACAAACCTGCAGGTGTTTTGGGTGTATGCTCTTCCTCGTTAAGGCCACATGCTTAAGGTCACGTGGTTTGTGGGATAATTTTTATTCTGCAATTGGGAGTTCTCTGTAGAAGATTTAATAATAGTTTTAGAGATAGTACCAAATAATTATTGGAAATCAATGTATTTTAAAAAATACGTATGCATTGTGCAAACGTATATTTGAGAAGCAATGTATTGAGTTGTTTTCCATTATAATGCTTAGATGTTTTATGTTAGAATGTTTCGATTTTTTTTCTTAAAACATATCAGAAAATATGGATAGGGACATTTCTGAAAGCTACATTATGCTTACATTTCAGGACGTTTTTAAAACGTGAAATACTTGCTAGTGCATTTCAATACAACTACATATATATAAAAAACACGTGAATATGAATAACATGATTTAATGACGCGTAAATATGCGTTGCATCACATGTTTTATACCACGTAGTTTATCGCAGCTCAGGATACAGAAATAAGTACTCTGATAGTATAATAACTCATTTGTTGTTTTCGTAAACCGGCGGCGTGCGAACACATTTAATTTGATCTGTTCTACTATTAGGATAAGGAACCCCTGAGGTTGATTCATCTGAAGGATGTGAAGAATGTAAAACAGTGTGAGCTTGGGTGAGTATCACAAAAGCATTGAAAACATTTGAAATGGCACAGGAAAGATCTTGAAAAAAAATTGCTAATAAATAATGTTGTGCATTTGCTATTCGCGCCGCATCGTGAGTTCAAGATCATCATGACGGGCGCTATGTTTCACGTACATCGGTTGCGGTGCTTTCAAGGTAGGAGGTAATGTTGCGATGTGCAGTCCTCAATTGAGTTATTTGCAGGTAATTTTTGTTCAATATTTACCATTTTGGACCGTGACGCGGGCAGGCGATGGCCTACGCTTTTCGAAAGCCGTTGGGCGACTTTTAACGTCCACTGGTAAAGCATACGGCACACACTTCATGGCCAATACACACTGCAGCGATAACCAGGGCCGGCCTGCTGGATGATTTGAGCTCCCTAACGAGCACAGACAATGTTACCATCATTATTGTCACGGAGAAGTGCTATTGGATGATATCGAATGCCCAATAGATGTCACATGGAGCAGTGCTCAGAGCAATTAAAGCAAACAGATTTTGAAGGGAGTGGGTAAATATTGATTTTTGCAATGCAAGTGTATATGTTAATGTGTCACAATCCGTCTTAAGTTTAAAATGTTATTGTTTTTCATAAGCAGCACAAGGAAGCTTTAAACAGAAATAGCCTCAGTTATGGTCGTCTGTCCAACATTATTGGGCAAGAGCATGCATAGCACTTCTGCTGACATTATTTATATAGCAGATGTTACTGGTATTTGTAAAAATAACACTTTTACACGTTTCCTGATTTGAGAAGCAAGGACGTACGTGCCCGATTAACAGAAGCCTCCCTACTGCTGATTGTTGATTTAAATCGTGTGTATGTTGCCTGTGTTTGCTATTCCATTCATACAGCGGAAACAATCTAACATTTAAATTCACGTGATATGATGAATGTGAATGCTATTGCATAGGGTTAGAATGTACACTGAGCACGGTTGCGAAATAAGTTCAGCAGACGTGCCTGCACTTTAATGTACCCCGAAACAAAATAATAATGGAAAAAAAAAACAAGGAACTTGCATTCATGGTGGCGTACCAGCACAAGCCAAAACGAGACCGCCAACGCAGCAATCAATTGGGACGTTTCTCCCACTAACTCTCAGCATCGTCAACAAGTTGCTTTAGTTTGACCATTTGGAGTTGACGCACTGAAGTGCGAGTGGAAGTTTACGCGTCATTCGGAATGTACACGTTCTGAATCGTAAAAAACAAAACCCCTACACGTTGCCCAGTGCGACACAGGCATGCAGCATGCACGGTTCTTAAATACACTTGTTGCCCAGGTACTTGTCTTCGTTGTTTTCTCAAACGTATTCGTCACGGGAGTCGCGTTGTTATCCGCGGTGCGCCTTGCCCTGTGCTCGGCACGTCTCGCTCTCAGCAGTGTACGGCGCCATCACCTAGGCACATTCTGCCCAATTTCTTTGCGAGAATTCATCTTCTTTGGTTCTTTCGGTAAAGTCACCACGTAGAATGAGAATAAAATAATAAAATAAAACAATACAATTCTCACGACGTTTCGGCCACAACACAAGTGGCCTTCTTCAGGTGAAAGGAGCAAACCTGTCGGGACGGCAAAGCTACAATGAACGCACCGCGGATAACAACAGCGCGAAAGCTTTAAATCGAAATTCTTTGCGAGAGCCTAAAATGCTAAATGTGTTAATTGTGATTTTGTAAAAATAAAAAGAAATTATCGTTGGTGATTTGAAATTTTTGGATGTCACTACTAGACGCCAGGAGCTTCCATTTGGTATAAACCCTATATTATTAGATGTGTGAACAAAGAAAATTGGTTTGTGGCTGTATACGATCAATAGCTGAATGTATACACGCGTCTCTGTGGAAGAGACAAACCAAAAAAATCACCACATTCAGCATCAACTCTGTCTCATCATGTTTTTGTGAACTAGTCTTTCTTCAGAGTTTGTGCCGTGGTGCCCCAAAAAATATGGATTCGTTTTTTTTATTCTAGCAAAGAGGGTTCAATTGATAGTGAATAAGCTTCCATTATATGTCGAGAAGTAAATAAACCATTGATAAGTAATATATATGTAGTGGTTGAACTTTACACGAACAACTTTTGTCTTTCTTCAACCACTTCTTTATATTTTTTATTTAAAGCTTTCGTGACTGCAGTAATTCATATTCTTAGTTCTTTCGGTAAAGTCACGTTGAAGGGAGACAATAAAACACGTTCTCCACACTCCACCGTATCCTGGACACCGCGGCTCGCTCGCTTCGCCCGTCTCGCTCACCACCTTGGTTCCCAGCATCACGTCGCTCTGCCCCGCACACACACACCACACCACACACGTCTTCAACTCTATCCCTACGCTCTCTCCACTGCTGGCTGTCCTCCTCAGCTCCTCCGCTATACAGCGTCGTCGCACACAGCGAAACCCAATCTCACTTCTCTGTCTCCGCACAACTCGTCTCCAGCTCCTCTATTACTACGCTCTCTCCACTGCTAACTGCTCCGTCTTATTCAGCATCGCTATCACCATGCTCCAACTCTCTTCTAAACTCTGTTTCCGAACTCCACGTCTTCACCGCACAGCTCCCAACTCCAATCTCCCTCTCTCTCCTCCCAATTTATCCCCATTCTCATTATCGCTAATTAATTGGTCCGCGTGCCTCCGCAGCCTCGCGTCTTCAACCACCTGAACCTTTTTCCAGACACCTCGACGCCTCCTCGGCCCCAGCAACAGCACCAACCAATCACAGCCCTTCTGGCTTAATTGGCCCGACCGTTACCTCATCACCCCAGCCTCTTCACCTGGCTGTCCTCACACGACCCCACTGTTTACGGCGTCTCCTCAGGCTGACCCCAGATAAACCCCACACTGTCCGTGTGATCAATACACTCGCGCAGTTTCCCCAGCACACCTTCCTACTCCACTACATCTATACCGTATACTGTGTAACATGTTAGAGCTGTTTCCCTGAAATATCAGTTTATTATATATATTTTTTTCCGCGATCAGGCGAGGTAGTTAACATCCCTCCACCGCGGCACCCCAATGTGTTACTTGAGAGTATCAAACAAAGTGTGTTTTATACTTTCAAGTTAAAAACAATTTAAACGTCTTATCTTGCTGTGCGGCACCAGCAGGATGATCGTGCAGACACACAGCAAAATCTGTAATGACTGCACCCGCTGTGTCTCAACAGAGAGCAGATGATGCGGGACAATCTGTTTCAAGTCGTGACTTCATCCAGGACCTTCTATGTGCAGGTGAGAGGCGGCAGGTCTAAACTAATAAACATTTTTTTATTGTCCCAGGTCAGGCCCACTGAGCTGCACAGCTTTTTTTCAGAAGCGACCTGGCCACAATTGATAGCCCGATGAAAGTGGCTCACGTTGACGTTTATATGCAGCCAACGCATGTTGATTTTTAAATGTGGAAGGAAAAACCGGAGCACCCTTAGAAAAATCCACGTGACCACGGGGAGAATATGCAAACTCCAAATATACAGGCATCAAGGTCCAGATCGAACCTACGACCTCCTGTATACCAGGCGAGGTAGTTAGCATCTCACCACCACAGCACCCGTCAGCACCGCCTGCGCCCGTCATCAGCACTGTGGCTCTGGTGTTGAAATACTGACTGGGGGAAAGGGTTTTGCTGGAGAAGCCTAGGAAAATTTAAGGTAAAGGGGCAGCCCTGTAATGACTCGCTCACGGCACTGCTGTGGGATGGGCCTCCACTACAAGGGGTTGTGGGGAGTCCCTCTAGTGGGTATTTTGATCACCTCTTCCCCGCTTTTAGAAAACTAATCGTGTCTTACATTAGTTTCTACAGCGAGATGGAGAGATATGTTGCAATTGATTTAAATAATGAACTATGTTCACATTGTGGTAAATGGTAGTGTTTCTAGTGACTGCAGCGTGACATGAACCCATTACATACAATACAAATATAAACAAATATTGCACACAATTTGATGCCTGCATTGTGAGCTTAAGAATTTCTATTAATAAATGAATAACGTTCCAGCCCAAGTACACAGCATGGACACTGCCAAATGTATGGGTTCTTCAGGCTTCTGTAAATAAGTCGTAAAATAGTCCATGTGTCAGAATATCCTGCATGTCTAATCTCACCACACGGAGTGGCTTACCATAGGCTTTACCGTACCACTGGTAGAACATCAGACGCAAAAGCTAAGGCTTTATTAACATCCCATGTTGCACAGACCTGGAGAGACTGCTATGTGTCAGTGACGTGTCCTCTCTCACTCCGCAGGCCGATAGCCCCAACGACATGTGGGACTGGATTCAGGCGATCAGGAGGGCTTGTGGTATCACTGGTCGTCTCACATCTACGGTACAGATGCACAAATTATTTGGCATCAAAGCAGCATCATAACGGCCCCTCCACATTCCATATGAATGTAGTGCAGCAGTTGACATAATGGCCAATTTCTTAAATCTAGCCCCTCCTCTGTAAACCCAGCTGTGTATATGGGTAGACCACAGTCAATCGGCCGGTCGCGTGTGGTGGAGTAAAGTGTGGCTACGCTCACCTCTTCCGAGACGTCTGGCGAGTGTGGAAACGTGGGCTAAAATACCCAGTCTAGAGACTCTTTGGAGCTCTCTCCATGCCTCAGGGCATGCTTCTACCACCATATGAAACACGCCGTGCCATCTGATTATGCACAACCCTGCCAAGCCACGCCCATGCCCCCCCCCCCAGTTGCCAGAACATGCTCCCTGGACAGAAGCTCGCTTCTTCACTCTTTTGTCCGGATATTGAACTGCCTCCCTAATGAACACATTGTCTGCGAGATCGCTCATTCTGGTCTTCAGGCCTTCAAATGCCAAGCGCACGTGGTATACATCTCCTAACTTCACCACACGGCCGTGTAGGAGTGAGTCTTTGAGCTGCAGTGAACCAATGATGATGCCGATTGGGTGTACTCATGCCTGATATGGCTGCTGTTCACAATTGCACCCAATTAAAAAAGGCCCCTCAGCCAGCAGTGGCACGAGTGCTCTAACTTGCATGGCTGCACCTTCGCCAGCATTGACCTTCAACCCTTTTGTCTCGCAGGAATCGGACCCCGGCGTGCATCCCACGAGCTGGGCAGACCCGGCCGCCACGACGGATGAGCACGCCGCCACGCGCTCGCTCGCCCCGGCCAGCGTGCCAATGCGCAGCGTGTCGCTGGGCTCGGAGCACAGCGAGGCGCCACAGGGCGGCGCAGAGAGCGAGCGGCAGTCGGGCCAGGCTGCCGAGTCGGGCTCGAGCCCGGGTTCAAACCCATACCGGTTTAACTGGGACCTCCTGGATAGCCTCAGAGCTAGCGTCGTATAAGTTTACGATCGAAGTTAACCAGTTGTGTAGTTGCTCCGCATCTAGGTCGGCCTTACGAAAGGGGAAGAAGAAGATTCAAGTAAATTAGCGTTCGGTAATATTACATTGTTACTTAAGTGGCATGGTGAATGCAAATTAGATGTTTGATTTACTATAGAGTACCCAGTGCATGTTTTACAAAGTCTCGTGCTTATGCCGCTATGAAAACCATAATAAGTCATAATTAAATTGCATAAAGGTGATTTTTTTAAAATATGGGACCCATAATACACAGAAAATTCAAATCAGTTGTGCGTGTTGATTTTTATGCTTATGTTTGTTTTCACATGCATTCTAACATTGTGTATTGTTGCTAATGTGTATTAAGTCACGAATTGAAATTATTCACATCTTCATAAATGTATGCATATTTCATCAAGTAGTGTTGCATATACCAAAGACTTTTAACGCATTTAATAGGTAATGTAACAGCATGACTGGTGCTCTTAGACACTGTACTAATTAACTAAATGCCTATGCAATTGTGTTGTATGTTGATTTCATTTTACTTTTACACCCTATCAAGATTGTGCACGTTATTTAGTGGGGTTTCTGTGAGCAAAGCGAAATAACAAATTCTGCCACTATCAATGGAATGTGTAATATGTTGTAAACCATGTCACACTGTAAATGTGCAAATCGAGTGACGTTTGAAATTTTCAAAGATGAAAATAATTAACTACTCATAACAACAATGATTTCACCTTGTGATGTGCCGAAGAGAGAGAATTATCCTATGGCGTGAGGAACCACAAAGTGGGCAAGGCAGCCAGGTGACAATTTTCTCCCCAAAGCTCTGCAGTCCTCTATATATTAAGGTGTTATCAGCCAATTGATACGTGATTATACACGTGGGAGGAAACTGGAGCGCCTGCAGAAAACCCAGGCATGTGAGGGAGTAACACTCGATCCCAAACGGAATGGGCAGGAATTAGTTCGCAACATTGCTTTGCCGCCTCCTACTGGCAAGCCAGGATATGGCATCAGCTCGACGCTCATGGAAAGGGGAGTTTCACAACGTTTGTGTGATCCACCGACCCTCTCCTTCACAGCGCTGAAAGGAGAGGGTTGGTGGGTCACACAATAAACATTTTCTTAACAAGTACAGGTAAAGTAAATACCTCTTAAATGGTGTAAAATACGTACGTTCACCAGTGAAAGGTAGTTCGTGCTTATCTAACATTAAATATATTATATAGTCACCGAAACCCCCACGAACAGTGAATTGTTCTAATTCAGTGTTTCTCAACACCCACACCCCTGGTGACAACGCATTCACTTCCCTCTAAAAATACCACTTGTGCAATTATTAATACTATCGGAACTTTGAAAGTTTTGTTTTGTAGCTGTAAAGTTTTTTTGGGGGGGGGGGGCGCATTTAGAATAATCAATCAGAATATGTATTTATACTGTAGGAATCCGATGAGCTATAAAGCTCTTTTTCACATGTCCAGTACGGTAGTTTAAGCAGGGTAGTTTACCTAACTTAATTTTTTTAAATTCAGGAACATAAGTAAAGGTATAAACATCTTCTTGGCTCTTTCGGTAAAGTCACGTAGAAGGGAAACAATAAATAATAAAAATGTAAAATAATAATATTCTCACGACATTTCGACTGCAACACAAGCAATCATCATCAGGTGTGAAAACCACAGCAAGAAATTTTGAAAAAAAGTGGCGTTTTTTTTAACGTTAGCACCACGGGGAGCGATTTGGCAGTTTGTTCAGATGGACGAGTCCATCTATGTTCGGAAAAGAGGAGGGGGGAGACAAAAATAATGAATGCGGTCTGAAAGCCACCGTAAGCGTGAACAATCAATTAAGACCCGAAATGGTTTATCAAATCCTTCCAATGATTGCTAAGCCAGAATCCATCTATTATTTTGTTTCCCTTCTACGTGACTTTACCGAAAGAACCAAGAATATGAATCCCTGCAGTTACGAAAGCTTTAAATCAAAAGGTATAAACATCGTCATTATTCCCGGATCAACACACATACGAACCTTATGGCGGTCATCCCGGGTCACCACAGTCCCCCGGCTCTCACATAATGTCCGTGATTGCCAATCATCTTTAGTCTGTTGATGGTCGGCGATGCGGCAATCGACTCATCTCGACGAGCTGTACTCATGATACACTATTCAAAGTAGAATTTTTCGATAACGGATTTTTTTATGGGAATGTTTGGCGTTTCGACATCGCGGATTGACACTGATTGCGGATTGATTGGTACCGCAGTCAAGGAGTTGAGTAACACCCTCGGAAAAAAAATAGTGTCTCAGAAATAAAGTTTTTAATTGCCTCGGCCAGTTTGTATGATTTGGTACCCCGGGGTATCGCCATAAGGATCGTTTTTCATCACAGCTCCGGGGACCACTCTCTGAGAAGCACTGCACTAATATAATATGCACTAACATACTGCAGCGTTTGGCTTGCATCCTACAAGTGTGCCGCTTCACATTGAATGCCTTTCTCTCATTTTCGACAACTTTCGTCCACGAGTTCCACTATTGAATCGTTACGCTTATTTTGTAAATCTTACATTTTTTTAAAGTTAAAACTGAATAGTGCCGGTAATGGTCACACACATACCAATTTCGAGTGTTAAATGGCCACTTTAATATTGGCTTTATAGTTTGTTAAGTACGTATTTAATTTCAAGCACAATGTTGGTATTTGAACAATTTGTGTTTAGGTACAATTTTTGTTTATAATAAAGTTCTGTTTTGATATCTAGGAATAACTGGTGCCTGTTTTTTTAAAAGTTATCCTCTAAAAGAGACATCCAATTATTAAAGCAGAGCGGTAAAACATTGTTTTGCAATTGTATTATCGCCACGTGGTATTTTGAACACAAGGTGGTGCTGTCTTGCAACAATTGGAGAAAATCCTTGTCCAACATTTTCGAAGGAATATTTTGGTTTGTGTTCAGGATCAAAACAACAAGCCAGGCAGCCCCTATCAATCTTCACCGCACAAAAGTCTAAAGGTTCCATATTCTGCCACTTAAAATCCGGTAGTCTGGCCTACGTTGCATTCACTGTACACCTTTTGGACTTTTGAACAATTCAACTTTATTACCTCCAGCCTCCTCTATTCACGTAGCAGAGTCGACCAGGAACAGGGCTGACGTATATATAAACAGAGTTTGGCCTTTAATTCCCACGTGGTAAACAATAGGAGGCCGTGTTGTGCTTTCAGGTAAGGGCTTCATGGGATTTACAAAGCGTAGTAATTGTATGCTTTAAGAAACGTTTAACGTTTCCTATTCACTTCATGTCACGCGGTTGACACTTATTAAGTCCCTTATGTACCTCAAGACAAGTTAGCTTTAAAATATTTGTTTTTATTATTTAGGCACAAACCTGCAGCCTCCTCAGTCTTCACCACACTTTTGATATTGCCGATGAGACGGGTTTTCACATCTCACACAAAACCACAATACCAGTTTACTAAAGGTTACGTGGCATTACACCATAGATTGGTTGTCATTAATGATAATAGAGTCATATAAATATGAAACACGTAACAGCTCTAACTTGAAACATATCTGCCAAAGATGTTTTTAAGGACCAAAAATAACTTATGCTGGCTTAGTATCATAAAACGTTAATATTTTAACCGTGTTTTCCCACGATGATACTGTAAAACTCTAATCATATATATTTTAATTCAATATTATATATCTTATGCGAAAAACTGTATACATGCAGGTATTGGAATAGCAGTCATACTGTGTAGTTTTACATTGCAATTGAGCCTTGCATTGAAATGTTGAAGTGTTCAACATGCATTAAGTGTTCAAGATGCACGTGGATATTCACTTAAAACTAATTATTTAGGGCTGGAATATTGACATGAGCAACACCCCCACCCCCTCCAAGCATTCCATGAATTATGAATAATGGTTGTGAGTCTATTCATGCTCTATGTTATTCACGTGGTGGTGCCACGAGTGGCAGGCTATAGGTGTGATGTCAACCCATTGCATAAAATATGCGAAATGAAACACATTGATTCCTAAAATCATAGCTGTGGCAGAGTGAGTCACCGGTTTTATGAGTAAGTCACTCCACCACAACAATTATTACATGAAAAAGTCTTGTTTATAATTTCATAAACTGCAGACACCGGTGTTATGATTAATTTTCTGTAACGATTTCACGGTAAAATTTCCTTGAATGACTCGACAAGATGTTTATGCTCCAAATAAGACTTGTAGTCGGCAGAACACAAGGAACTCCAGAACAACATGACAGATATAAACCACAAGCATGTTGCAAGAAGCTTGGACAACAATTTAACAATGGTAATGAAATGTTGTTTTCACCGCACTAACGGGTACAAATACAGGTCTTCTGATGGGAATAACAAAGCCACCCACTGCAATTATCATGCCCCCTGCAGAAAAACCAGATGGTTGCAGAAACTGGGTTTGTCACGTTACCACTTTTCAGAGCAGCAGTAATGATGACAAACGCTGAACTGTGTCCAGTGTGTCGTAAAATAAATTACTACCTGGTGTATTGTAATGCCCAGATTAAGTCCGTAGCACTGTGCAGTGTTTCTGTTGCGGTGGATTTCCTCGTCATTTTCATATTTGAATTCGTACTTTGTACTGCAAATCTTCCGCGCCCATGGATTGTTTTGTTATTTAAGGTATAACTCGGTGGTAGTCAGAGTGGCTGTTAAGTGAAGTACACGGGCTTGGGGAAGGACCTGTTGCTCGACGAGATGATGGCTCGGTGGGCGATACTAAAGATGGAGTGGCACTCATAGGGGGAAACACGCATGAGAGAACATCTCCTACAGAGATGGAACAATGACATCAGCTCATGTGCAGGCCCGTAGATAGATTGTTGCATTGCGACACAGTGAGAGATGGCGATGACCTGAAACGGCCTTAGTCCAGCAGTGGTTTGATCATGGCTGATGGTGATTCAGGGGAAGGCTCAATGTAAAACTGCCTTTAATTTAGGCGGAAAAGAGGCTGACGTTTGATACGGTCCAATGTGAAATTGTGTCACTTTTAAAGCGATAGAATACAATAACAAACTTTGAGGATCTAACAATTGGCCTCCAAGCTTGGATTCCATTACCACTCCTAAAATGCACACATATGGCCCTGAAAGCATACCCAGGCCACACATTTTGGGTATCAAATTGCGCCACAGAAATAAGGGGTTCAGTGTTGTGCTGTCAGGCCGAAATGCCCACATTGGCCTGGGTCCCCTTGCAGTGTGAACCACGGACCTCTGTTGTCGGCATGTGTGGCCACTCATTCACTGGAAGTTTTCTAATGCTGCTTATCTCGTGCATACAGACGAGATAAAATTACTGAAATGTATAAAGCGTCCTTAAACAATCGTTCTCAGGGCGCTATGCATGAAAAGAGATAAAGCCTTTTTAAACGGATACGTTTTTAGTCTATATTTGAAGTCCTGACCTCGAAGGGCAACGAATTCCAAGGAACACAGAAAAAATGGACATCACTTGATTATTATTTTTTATTTCAGAAACCCTACACGTGATTGTGCACATCCCTTAAACCAGTGCGAAACCTCGGTAGGTAGAGGTGGAGCAGAGGTGGAGTAAAAATAAGATTCAATTCACGTGCTGTGGTGAGATGGATATAATACAGCACTGTGGTATCGCAAGACCGC